TTGTGTTTGACCGATCCGATCAGCTCATTGTCATCATAAATCGGTTCTTCAAACTCATCATCAGTCAGGTCATCATCACTTGGATCACCATCCACACGATTTGGTGGATCACCAAGAATTCCGGGAACATGTTCATGGTCTCTCATTGCAGAGAAACCTGAAAAATTCAAAAGAAAAAGTAAAAGTAAACAAGTGTTCTAATGGATTTAAGCTGGGATTCGCAACGAAACAAATTTAAGTCCCCGGCAACGGCGCCAAAAACTTGATGCGAGTTTGTAAACGGGGTTGGTTGTTTTCGTTTTACTAAGCTTCAGGTTTTAAATTTATAACTCCTAAATGTCTGCAAGTGCACAGATGTGCGCTGTAGTACTTAGGGTATCGATCCACAGAGACTTAGTTGTTTCAGTACGAATTCACTGCAACGCTTAAATCAGATTAGAACTAAAAAGGTTTTGGTTTTGGTTTTGGGTTTTTGTTGTCACTAAATCTAAACTAGAAAGCTAAACAAGTAAAAGCAATTGAAAGTGAAAGCAAATAAAAACAAGTAAAAATCGATTAAACAAAAGCGAATGAAGGCAACTAGATGGCGATTAAACTAGGCGATTGAAAGCAAAGAACAAGCAAATGAAAAGCCAATTAAATTGAAGGTTGTAAGCAATGAAAGACAAACGTTGGGGCTCAAGGGGTTTCGCAGGGGTTCATGGTCTATGCTAGGTCGATTTTAAACAAGTGATAAAGCTAATCAACTACGTATGTTCTAGAACTCGAGGCACGGAAGTATGAATAGCCTACTTTCGCAGCACTAAACAACTATCTCTCGCAACCCTGATCAGTAGGTTTCCACTCTGATCCTGGAAGGGAGAAGATGCAATAGCAGAATAAGACTCATCAACATTCACAACTCAACAACAGGTAGGTTCCCACTCCTATAGAAGAATTGCTCGTTTCACCCTAGTTCAGACAATCAATGAAAGCTTTCGCAACATATCATATCAGATCGGCTTCTAAGTGGCCAGCAAAGAATCACGCAGTAAGATTAAAGGCAAACGAAGAACATCTAGAAGATTATAAATCCTAAATTTATCGATTCATAAGCAAAGACACATGAAATTCCCTTTGAACAATCCCTTTAAACCCAACTGGGTAACTACTCAAACTTATTGTAACAAAGCATCATAAACGAAATTGAAAGTGCAGGAAACTAAAGAAAACAGGGAAGAAGAATGAAGAACGGAATCGCAGATGGAGGCGCGATGATGCTCTCCTCGGTGGCTCCTCCATCAAAGGCGGCGGCTCCTAGGGTTTGTGAAGCACACGAACTCTCTCTCTCTCTCTAAGTGTTTCATTTTATTCTTCTCTGCCTCTTTAGAATGACCTAAAGAGGGTATTTATAGCTTCTGGGGTGGTTTTGGACACTTAGGGCTTCAAAAATAACGAAAGGAATTGATCTGGGCTTTAATTAAGTCGTCGGGAAAATGAACGACCAATGTCCGCGGTCGCGGTGGCTCTACCCGCGGGAAAACAGGTGTTGGCCGCGGTCCCGGCTCGTGGTCCTCTTCCGGAACTGCATTTTCTGTCATTCTTGCATCGGGAGTATCTGAAGATCTAACCGTTGGATTGTCTCCAAACCAAGTGCATTAGAAAGCTGGTTGGATCATCTATGTTGTCTCAAATTTTGGGGGTGATCAGACGCTGAGAAGGTCTTCATCGCTTGTCATACTTCTGACGGTCTGCATTTATCCAAATTGCTCATTTGTTCTAAATTGCATATTTTTTGCCCAAGTTTCCTGTAAAGTCTTTTGAAACTCTAAAACATTGAAAACACTTTAAAAACTATTGAAAACAGAGTTAAAACACCTGCATAAGATACAATTATGATCCATAAAAATGGTCAAAATACGGTGTTATCAGTCTCCGAGTGATTTGAAGAATGATTTAAGAAAGTTTTTAGAAAGTTTTCGAGAAGAATAATTGTTTTATGGTGGAAGTGTTTCTAGTGAAATATATAAATGGTTATGGTTAAAGTGTTGGTAGAGCATCTCCAATGTATTCTTCCATTTTTGTCTCCAAAATGGAGTAACTCCAAAATGGAGCTCTCCAATGTATTCCCCCATTTTCAACTTTAAAAAGAATATTCTAAGTATATTCTTCCTTTTTTATTTTATTGTTAATTACTAATAATACACTTTATTTATAAAAATTATAAATAAACCCATTTATTTTTTCTGTTGAAATTTCCATAAAAAATAATATTAATATTAAATTCAATCACTATGATATAAAAATAACATTACACACCATTTAAAATAAAATAAAAAATACATTTTAATTTAAATTTCACCATTTGAATATTTTTCCTACAAATGATCAATTAAAGCATTTCGAAGTGAGAAATGAGCGTTTGTCTTCATTTTTTTATAAATATAGATGATGATGAGACTATTGGTGCTTCTCTTTCTCAACGACTAAGTGGAATAAAAAAAATCCAAAATGAAAAGAAAAATCGATGATGGAACATCAGATGTTATCAACTCTTTAGAAGAAGGAAATAAATAACTTTTGGAAAAGTTAAAGAAGACAAATGCCCAAAGACAACAACATTTGGATATTCAAAGTAAAGAACTATGCCTTGAAATAATTTAAGGAAGAAAACAAATTTTTGTTCCAATACTTGAACTCGATACAAGATCCAAATCTTCGTGCTTATGTTCAGAGTGAACAAACACGGATTTTACAGAAAAGGGCTGAACAACAACAATATCAACAAAATCCGCCTCAATCTAGTTTGTTTGGACAGTATTTCAATGATATTGGTAGATCTGGAAGCAGTTTACCGGATTTTTATTAATCAGTTGTTGTATTAAATTTGTTTTATGTTATTTCTAATTTTAGTATTTCTTATGTATTTTTAATTTTATGTGATTTCTATTTTCAGTTAATCTTATTATATTTTCTATTCTCAAATTTTAAATTTATCTATCTTTTATTTTAATTTAAATATGTATAATATGAAGAGTTAAATTATAAATGAAAATATAGTTTTAAGAATTAATGAAAAGTGAATGACTATTTTGGAAATAAAAAAGTTCACCTGCAAATAGAGTTGAAAATGGAGTTACTTTAAATTTGGAGGAAAAAATGGCATTCCCCCATTTTGGAGGTGAAAAATGGAATAGGATTGGAAAAAAAATTCTCCCAAAATAGCATTTGGAGGAACAAATGGGATAGGGTTGGAGATGCCCTTAGCAATCAATAACCAGCATTCATCAAAAGAGCTTTAACTATTTAACCTACTCTAAACTACCAAGCATTGATAACAAAGAGTCTTCACCTCACAAACACCTAACGAGCATTTATCATAAAGCATATATAACCGATCATTACAACTAACTATTCAGCTAACTATGTAAAGCTAACAAATAGTTAGGAATATGAATTATGTTGCTTCATTGCTTTCAAGTAATCGGTGGGACCTTGTATGAGCATCGTTCGTTGTTTCTCCATTTTACCTAGCAAAACATTTTAAAACACTCATTATTAAGTTTTTACTAACTAAATCATTGTCTTGTTAAATGATGAGAAGAATCTTGAAACCGTTTTTCACTTTCCTTATGAAGTTGTTCTGGTTCCAATCGGGTCTCGTTCTTTTTAGCCCTTGGATTTGTCCGTGGACGCTTCCTAAAGTTTGGAACTGGTCTAGACGAGCTCTGGAACTGAGTAACAGCTTCTGTTTCCTCAGCAAGCTTCTCAGTTTCCAATGGAGCATCAGGGTTTGAAGATCATAACATTTCCTCTATGCATTTCCTGCAAACTGTTCCCAAAAGATTCAAGTCATAATACATACTATAAAGGCACAAGAATGGCAACGTTTTGCTTAGCTTTAATATTGATGGAAAACAAAGAGTACATAACTTCATAACATAGACATAACATCGACTTAAAAAAAGAAACCTAAAACCTAACAAGGAATGAAGGAAGTCAAAAATTGGTTGATCTTCTCTTCTGAAATCACAACTCTCCTCTCCACTAATTTTTCTCTTCAGAAATCACAAATTCACTCTTTCAAACCCTAACAAATATTATCGGCCAAAAAGAAAAATGGTCGACCGAATATGGTGGAGAGGAGACTTTAGAGGAGAGAGAGGATCTCAAAAAAAAAAAAATTATGGTCAATCACATGCGGACACGTGGTTTTTAAAACCGATTCTAAAAAATAATATTTAAGAAGCGGTTCTTAAGAAAATAGACTCTTTTCTTTTTTTAACAAAAGTTTGCATATGTTTTTGGGCCAAGAATACCTCTTGAACTCTTGATGGAGGTGATCTTAGATCACGTGTTAAATTAAAGTTAATTAACCCATGCACATGTCATGTGCACGTCGTTTTCCCCAAATTCTCTTACTGTAAACCCTAATTTTAATCGAAATTATTTTAATCAAATTCACGATCAATAACTGTCTCATCCGCGAACTATTTTATAATCTCCGGCAATGGCTATACTGCTCAAATATCCATCTTAACGACTCCTCTGCCCATCATCATGTCGTCGTAGCCACTCAACAAACAGAAGAGCAAAGATACAATGGGGTATTGCTTCGGGTGCAAGGAAGCTTCTTGTAGGTTAGGGTTTTGAGAAATGGACGAATTCATGATAAACTAAAAAAAAACAGAACCAAAAGAAAAACTTGTTTATTTTTTTTACCTTTTACCCCTGTTTTGAATTTCCAAAAAACGAAGTAAATCAGTCCGTTTAAAAGGAAAAAGAAAATATTTTTTTGCGTATTTACTAAATCAGTTAAAAATGGTATCTCAGAACACAATCCATTATGGAAACTTTCTGAATATGAAAAAAAAAAAAAAAAATCCAATGCAATTCACAGAAAGTAAAAAGCTGAGAGATGCGAAGAAAGTAGTAGTATAAGTAAAGAGAGACGGAGATGAGGATGCAAACAATCTCTATCTTAGTAAACCATTGATATCTTATACAATATATCAATCAACATGGGAGGCATAAAACGTAAAATAAAGATTGAGAAGATCGAAAACAAAGAAGTAAAATCGGTCTATTTTACTAAACGACGTGACGGTCTCTTCAGCAAAGCTTCTCAGCTCTGTCTTATCTCTCCGGCAACTCAAATCGCAATCTTAGCGACTCCTCTTTCTTCCAATTCTCACGCTTCTTTCTACTCTTTTGGACATTCCTCTGTTGATCACGTTGTTTCTTCTTTTCTTTACGATCAGTCTCCTCTTTCCACAAACCAAGAGAACAAGCAAGGGTCAGAATTAGGGTTTTGGTGGGAAGACGAAGCCTTTGACAGATCAGAGAATTTAGAAGAGCTGAAAGATGCTACTGATGCGGTTTCGAGGATGTTGAACAATGTTAGGCTTCGTTTAGATGCTGTGAAGAGTAATAATCAAAGAGATGGAGGTTTAGTGATTGATCAAAAGGAGGTTCCTCAGCTTCTTAACACCAAGACGAACTACAACGAAGAGACGACGAATCAAATTACTGAGTTTGATGGAACTTTTGGTGATAAAATTTTGTCAGAAGATGAGGAGGATATTCTGACTATTGATGATTATTTTACTGATGTTAAGCTTGACCCGTTTTGATTCGATGATGTTCTTAATTTTATGCATCATTAGGTAATTTAGGTTATATCTAATCTAGCGGTGTATTTCTTTCTTCTTTTTTAAAAAAAAAAAAAATTTGGATTCTGGAATAATGCTACCAAAATTGAAATGGTTGAGTAAAATTTTTAAAAGTGGCAAAAAAAATCTTTTATTAGAAACTTATGTTCCAAGTCTGGTTCAAATTCACAAGGAGGTTAGTCAAATGTTTACCTAGTTTCTTTCTTGCTTTTCCTTGCCTTCATGTTCCTTTGAACAAGATTAGTCAATTATTAAAGTAACCGGACAAAGCCTTTCTTTGTTTCCTTTTTTTGCTTTTGCTTTTCTTTGTTAATGATCTTACTCAAAAACTTTTGTGAACATCTCGTTGGCTTTAGCGTATTCACGATTATCCATAGTGTAAACACATATCTGTGAACATCTCGTTGGCTTCCTTCAAGAACTTGCGAACAAAAGGCCATAGCTTTGTCAAGTAACTAGTGTCCAACTCCCATAGATCTTCCCGCTTTCTTTGATTAGATACTTCTATAATTCGGAGAGACGTTGAAACCTTGATGGAGTAGAGAAGCGTGTGGTCCAAGTCAAGGAAATTTTGAAGCTTCTTCTCGTTGAGACAACAGAATTGCATTGTAAAACGCTTCACAACGCCGCAGCTTCTTGAGGAAGCATATGTAGATTTTGCCTAAAGAGTCTCAAATAATAAGCTTGTTTTCGAGAAGCAATCTCCCGAACGATCATCTAATATCACTTTGTTCAATGCTTTGAAGTTTAAAAAAACACACAAAGATTTATTTTTGTAATCTCAATCTTATATGGAAAGTATTACTACATATCTATCCTCAACCCCACTAGCAATAGCTCAATGGTGAGGCACATTGAGAGAGTGGAATATATCTACTCATAACAATAATACACGAAAATTTGTGTTTAAGTATAAGATCCTAAATGTTAGTGTACATAAGTACAAAAGAACATATCGACCCAACTCCCTTAGTCTTTTATGCGCTTATGACCAGTAAGAAAGAATATCGACCCGAGTCAAATCATGAACCATTTGATCTAAAGGAAAGCGAATGGTCCATTGATCTCTCTCTATGCTTTTTCTGGGAATACCTTGAGAAGGAAATCGGTGAACCGTTTAGAGTAAAGCGTAGGCTCGATGGCTGAAATTGTCATCGGATCATGCTTCATAGATTTGCAAGTATGTTCCATTCTCTTCTTCATGTTGTACTCTTGCAAGATGTCGATGATGCCCATGTACACAACCACATCATATACTTCAAAGAGCTCCACCATTCCTGATTCTTCCTCCTCGTCTTGACGTACTTTGTGGTGGGCTTGAGCCGGCATGTTCACTCCTAACTGTACCCGGAGCCTGGAACTCAATTAAAAAACGGTATGGTTTGTGTCAAATAATGAAGAAAAGTTTAACTTCCGGGTCAGTTTTTGATGCAAATGGGAAGTGACTGACCTTGCAGTTCCAGGTAGAATGAGATCAACTTCTTTCTCGCCAACAGAGAATGCTCGTAGTGTGCTTCCTCTGATGTGAGGACCCGGGGCAGTATTAACGGAACTAGGTTCGTGAGTAACCAATAACAGCCCTTTTGGAGGAATAGAGGGTTCACGAGGCATGACTGATGCAACACAACAAAGAAAAAAAAAAAAAGAAATTTAGTAAGCGATACAAATCCATGACGTTTATTCTTAGTTTACAAAGCTTGGATATAGTAGCTGTATAGTTCTAGGTGTGAGCACTAGAACTATACCATATACCTTCAACAGAAGAAACACTATCATTTTCTTGATCTGACATTGCATTGGGAGGCTCCAAGATATCATTAAGTTGATCGGGAGCTCTAAAATGTAATCCCAGCAGAAGACTGTAATCAATGATTTGCAGAGATTCCAAGAACGAGCAGTCTAAATAAATTTGCCTGCCGTTTGGGGAAACAAAGAGGTTCCACAAAAAATTAGACAAACAAAAATGTAATTTAATTGTGCGTAGCATTTGCAATCAAGATAATTAGGTGCACAAGAATGTACAAAAGATGAAAACTCCGAGGAAGTTTAAGTTAGTAGAACACAGGAGAAGCATCACACAACAACTTTACAAACAGAACTAAACTTAAGGCCATGCAAAGAAGAGCAAACGTCTCATTTCTAAAGAGATGCGTGGAGTCAGCAGCGAAACTAAGACATTTGATATTTTCAAAACACACATAAACCTAGAGGTTCTGTAATGAAAATGACTAAAACATAACATTCAAGAGAACTCACTTGAAAAGAGCCTCTCGAAGCAGCTTGTCCATATGAAATTCATAAGCTAGATCAAGATCTTTCATAGTAGTCTTTTCTCCCATTTTTTTCTTTTCTGTAAATCTCCCTTGAGAAGATCCCTTAAGGTCATAGCGGCGATGAATCTTCAGTTCTGTGCAAAACATATTCCCCATGACCACAAAGCGTACCTATCAGAGAATCACAACGCTCATGCTAAAAGAATTGGAATATAATGGATCTAACATATAGAAGAGATCAGACAAGTTCTTACCTTTTTACCCCACTTGAGTTTTAATCTGTGAACTCCAAAAAATTTCGTTATGAGCGTATTTTCATGGTCCCCTACATGTTCATAGTACCTAGGCAACATCCTGAGTAGAACCTACATGAAAAAGGAGGATGCTCTCAGTCATAATAACATATATACACCACTGCTACACTATAAATCAAGGACCCCATGTTATATTTAGAAAAATAGATACAAGTAAAGACAAAGACTAGACTATCTGTAGGCGATATAAGCATCCTCAAAGAAGGAACAACAAAAACCAAAAGGACCAAGAATCAGCTCCCATAACGAAAAATTAAGAAGGCCTTACAATATCCCCAAAACACTATTATATGCATAAGGAAAAGCAAGAAAAAGATAACAGCTTGGTTGAGTTATATCAAACCTTCAACTCAGATCTTTTCAATGTCTTTATCACAAATCTGTCGTCATGAGAAAGGTAGAAGATGCTGCCACTTTTCCCAGGAGAGGAAATTTCCCTCAGGCCATCATCGCCACAGATAGACATCATGTAGTCTGCAGCATCCAGTTTGAACATCTCTCTCAAATTCCTATGACATGCCATTGAACAAAATGCAGAGTAAAAAATTTGAAGAACACGTAATCTTCAATACACTAAGAAAAGTGTTTATGAGTAAAAAGATCCTCTTAATTTACAATTGCCGTCGAAAAATGCCAAAAGGAAGGAGCTTCGGGTGTTGAAAAAAACATCATCCCGCAGAAATTACTGTTTTAACTTATTAGCCGATTTATATATGATTATGATTATTACTTTTAACATTACTCCCATTTTTTTTGGTTAAAAGATATCAGAAAATCCATGACCATGACGAGATGCCTTACGAAACAAAAACAATCTAATAAAGATCGGTAATTAGACACCTCGCAAACAGCCAAACACTGTGAAGCTCATCTTTAACAAAAGTATTTCAAGTTGTTGTCCAGTTTCCATAATTTATAGTACGTATTGATAGAAACCTATTATGCTAATGTTTTTGTTGATTCAAAGCTTTTTGGTATATGGCGTAAGAAAAAGGTTTACCTGAAAACCATAGGGCAATAGTCTTTCCAGTCGAAATCAATGGACTTGTGTGGAGGTGTATACTGGGAGCCGTTTTTAGGGAAAAACATCATGATTCTGGCTCTTTTACCGAAGTCAGACGCACGAACTTCCCGCCGAGGCACTGGCGTGATTTTTCCAACAGTATACCTGTGAACTTCAAATGTTATGTTGTGTAAGAGGAATAACTAGTACAAGCATTGTTCAACAGTTTGTGTTCTGGACACGTTTATCAAGTTATAGTAAGCAGAAATAACAGTGTTTTAGGCTACAACTGAGTAATCTCAAGATCATATGACAATTGGAGAACCAGTTCAGAGTATTTTTTTTAAGAAGCTCTCTTTTCATTTTGACAACCAAGATTTGTTAAAATACTTTCCACAAATATAAATGACATGTGTCTCGAACTTGTTTACCTGATACCGAGTTGGAGATTAAGCATTAGATAATAGTTCCATTTTCCCCCAAGAAACGACATACAAGCGCCAATCGTGATTTCTTTAGTACGATCCAAAGGTCTAGCCCTGTGTGACATGTCAATAGAACTCATAATTCGTTCTTTAATCAAAACTCCTTGCATGTACTCCCTCTCAAAAACGATAGGGTTCTTATCGCGTGCCTCGCTTTGACCAGAGTCTACAGACCGTACAGACTTGGACGAGGGTCCATGATGCATAAAATCTCTTGGAGGGTCACTGGTGCTCCAGTTTTCATCAAGAAACCTCTCAGACATTCTACCCGAATTCCTCGTCAGTCCACTTGTTGTAGTTATCTCAGAAAGACTTCGTGACACAGCTTTTGAAGCCCGTAGCTCATCAAGATTTATCGATGAATCATGAGAGAGGACAAAGTTTCCTGTGTCATCATAACCAAAAGACCTATGCCACTTCTTTAGAGACGGGTGCTTACTTCCAGCAGGATAAAAGACTCCATTCCCATCTTTCAGGCCACGTGACCAGGTCCCAAAATAAAAACCACCATCAGCATACTTATAAACTCCAGAGCCATGTCTAAGACCATTCAACCAAAACCCGTTAAAGAGATCACCATTTGCCCAGCTCATAACTCCTCTCCCAGACATTTTACCCTTTTTCCAATTCCCAAGGAACCTGTTTCCATTGATCCAAGTATAGCTACCACTTCCATCTTGTACTCCTTCTTTCCATGAGCCATCATAAGAATCTGAGTTACAATACTCTTTCCTTCCTAGACCGTGCCGCACATTCATTCTCCAGGCTCCACTGTAGACAGATCCATCAGGAGAAGTCATGGTGCCAAAGCCATGAAGGTAGCCTCCAGAGAAATCCCCTTCATATTTAGCTCCAGATGACCATATAAGCTTTCCTTTCCCTGATATTTTCCCTTCTTCCCAATCACCTTCGTAGATGATTCCATCTGACCAAACATACTTCCCCTTCCCATGAGGAAGTGTTCCTTTGAGTTGACCAGAATAAGCATCACCGTTTGAGAATTCTCTCTCTCCAGGCCTGAGGAAATACAAAGGTACACTTCAGATCTAAGAAATCTGACCACAAAAAAAAAAACAAAAAGATAAAATCAAAATGTTGAAATGCAGTAAGATCTGTTGACAAGAAAGAAAAAAAAACAGACCTCGTTTCCATCTTAACAAGCACCTGGTGATTTGATGCAAATCACATTAAAGAGACAACAATCCACGAGAATTTCGTTCTCAGATAGTTCATAGATTCTTATTCCCTTCTATTAAGCAAACATCTTTCATAATTTTCCACACCATGTGCTGAAAATGATAGATTCCTCCTGGAGCTGGCATTCACCAATAATACATCCCTGTCAAAGAATCAATAGCTTAAATTCATATTCAACCAAAAATTAGGTACAATTCAAACAATAAAGCTGGTTTCAAACATGGAGAAAACCAAAATTTTCCAGAACATTGACCACCAAATTCCCAAATTATGAGAGCATTGCAACTCCACCCAGCACTCAATACCAAACATTTCAAGCGAATTACAATGAAACAGCTCATGCGTAGCCTTAATCCAATTAATTAATTATACAAGTAAGTAGAGAAAGATAGCAAATCGTTGATGTACTCGGCAGAGAGGTTAAGAAATCTCGAGTTCTTCAAGCCGCAGAAAAATGAATTCACGAGCTGCGATACGATAGCTTTCGAGAAACAAACAACCAAATTCAAAAGGAAAGCAATCCGATAATCGACTCGATTCACAGAATACTCACCGAGATGGACCTGGGGATCTCCCTGAAAGCTCGAGAGGAAAAAGAAGAAGGAAGAAGAAGGAAGAAGAGGAAGAAAATTCTGGATTGATCAAAGAGTGATGATTAGTCTTCGTTGTTGCTTCAATCGGAGAATTTCTTCTAGTACAAATGTTCTGATGCCCATGCACGAAGGTCCTCTCTCAGTCTCGGAGAGTCTTCTTTTTTAGCGAAATTTTCCGATCTGTATTTTTCTTTTTTTTAATCTTTTGTAAAATTTTAAAAGTTTTTATTATTTTTCTGTTTTTGCCCCCACAAGCTCTGTTTATCATTCTTTGGGATTGTACGGTTCAAACTGAAAAGGCCTGTCTATAAAGATAAAACCTCATCAGATAGGGATGGTAATCATCAAATATGTTTTTTTTCTCTTTCTTTTTTTAACATATAAATTACTCGAAACTACCTTTTACCAAATCCGACTAGTGTATATCATATTCGTTTAATCGATGAAGGTATCGACAAATCTGAATAATAGTGTTTAAAATTTTCAGTCTAATATCACTAATATCTGAGATATGTTATCGATCGTTATTACAATATACAGCGACTTTGAAATAAACAAAATTTAGTGATATTGTTAATTGAATAAGCCATCCACTTATTAAAGGTAAGGAGTCAATTCTATCGTTGCCGTTAAAATTTTGAATATATTGTTTAATACAGATTTAAATTTTCTAAATAAATCTACAAAGGATTAAAAGTAGTAAAATCTTCAAAATTGAGCATTTTTTCAATCAAAATGTTTTACTTCAGAAATCTAAAACATATTTGAAATATAAAATGGACTAATGAACATTAATAGAAAATGTTTATTGATTATTTATAATTATATAATAAGATTTAAAGATTGTAAAGTTAATGTTATGAATCTTTTGTCAAAAGCTTAAATACCTAAAACAGTTCAGAAATTAAAACCGGTGATTTCAAGTTTATATAGTTAATCATTTATCAAAATTAATATTAATACAGATTGTAAGGATAAAAACTGAAAACTGACTGTTGTTCGCTGACAAAAGCAAAAACCACTACATTGAAATTGAGACATTTCACTATTTTGTTTATGTCATGAGATCACTTTAATTAACGCAGATAAATCATAATTAGATCAAAACACAATTTAATTTAAGACTTTTCTACATGGGTTAGCACAGTTATTTATATTTTATTTTTCTACGAGGGTTCTACACCCAGGTGCGTCACACCTATTTAAAATACAATTTCAATGAATATTGTAATGATATTTTTTTGTCCTTTGACTTTATTTATAAGAACAGCTACCTATTACACCAAAGAATAAAAAAAAAAATTTCTGTTTGGTGTCAAACGAAAGAAAAATTCAATACGGTTTTGCGACTCGAAACTGATCATAAATATATTGTCCACTAATATATATACATGCATATGTAGACGTTAGGTATTTCTTCTTTATGTGGCAACAAACGTTAGGTACTTATCAGGTTCATTCTAGATAACAAAATTTAAAATAAAAGCTTATTAATAATTGCTCTTTCAAAAATAAATAGCATATTAACTAATATTGTTTGCATTTTATTTCCTAAATATTTTTTTTTTCAACAATTTTAAGTTAAACTAAGTAATTGTAGTTTGGTTAGAAAGAATCGTTTTGTTGGTTGAGGCCATAGATCGATTCCTTTCAAATGCAGAATTATCAAAATAACGATTGGCCACTTAAAGTGTAACTGGACGGTCTCATGTTTCACCAGAGGATAAGCCGGTGTCTTTAAACATTGGATATCTTGGGTGCTAATAAAAACAAATATTCTTAAACTATTATTTGGATTTGATTAATCTATGTTGTATGTATAACATAATGTAGAGCATAGCAGATTCAAAAACAACCATAGATATGTGGTACTTCATGCATGTTTTTATTACTCTGACGTTTAAATCAATATCTTTTTCTATAAAAATTGGTTGAAAGCAAGAAAATGAAGTCAGAAGATAGAGAAGAAAACAAAGGTTTCAGTTTAGGATGGTCGTGAATCTAAATAGTGGTCAAAACTGTTTATAATATGGCTAGACTGCAGACTAAATCAGTTTTTGATTATTGCTAGTAAGTAGTAGCCAATCCTTTTGTAGAGTACTAGAGTAGATCCAAACTTTCCGGCAATTACTAGACTAATACCTTATGAGTTTTTTTTTTTTGACAACATCTTATGAGTTATGACATGAACGTGACAATAATACTATACGTGTTTAGGACCAAATCCGCTTGAAATCAATGCGATTGTTTTCATATGCACATGAATTCAAAATCTGTCGCCGCGGATATTTTATTAATTAAGAATTATAGTAATTCAAATATAGACGTCGATGATATGCATATAAATATTAAATATCTGGACTCAACCGAACATGGCCAAACACAAGAAGACAAACATCAACGCTTACGTATATATATAATTTCTTTAATATTACATATTTAGTTCAACGTTCAAAGCAAAAATGTTCAAGAAAAACAAAAAACGTTCGAAGCATCCAATGAAATCTTTCTTTCAAACTATAATTGTAATCTGAAAATCAAAAGCGTGGGTCATCATCGCATATGGGAAACTATAAGTCTATACTACATTACAAAACCGGAGTCCAGCGTTGAGGTCGTTCACAATCGTATATGGGAAATAGCTAAAAACCATACTAAATTTGACATAGAAGATCATGTATACATTGAAAATTCTATGATGTAGCTGTCATTAAGAAAAATACATGAAACACGACAATTCGATATAAAATTAGACTACTTCTTATATTAAACTGAAATATTTTCATTTAGATTACAGTTTTAATAGAAAATAGATTATTATATGCAGATTTTGTAATTTCACTCACAACATTTTTCATTTCATGTAATTTAGTCTCAATAATATATTATTTATTTATTAAATTAAAATGTAGGCCGTTAGCTTGGGTAACGAAAACGTATAAGAAAGTTATCAAATCGTTTTCGATCTAAAATCACTAGCTAGATTCGATTATTGTTTTGAGTGAATTTTAATTATGGACATTTTGGTTAGGCTTTGATATTTTGAAGTTGACTATTAAGATTCTGAAGAAGAACAAAAATCAACCAAAATTACAAATAACCTACAATTTAAAATCATGACTTCTTTGTGTGCAAAAGATCAAGACTAAAAGTATTATTTACGAAATTTATCAAAAAAAACAACTTCTCCAAAAAATAACTTTTTTTTTCTTGCATCAAAGAGACGTACAAATTTATATACAAAAGTTGTCTCCAAAATTAATGCCTTTACTTCCTTTACGTCATATCCATAAAATCTACGTGATTCATTTAAAAAAAAAAAATTCAATGTGTAATGTGTACGAAATTCTTATCATTGTGTTTTTATTTTTTTTGTTAAAGATCATTGTGTTTTTATTCGTCGACATATCTGCGAACAAGACGAAAACTCCAAAAGTAAACGGTAAACAGTAAATACATATCTGTCTTTTCTTGTGAAATAAACAATCATTTTATTCGACAAATAAACAATCATTTAACAAATTTCGGTTTGTTTTAAAAAAGTCTAAACAGGTTTTAAATAAAAAAGGGGGAGGATAATAGTTGTTAGAAATGGAAAGGACGAAATAATGAATTGAAAACATAAGAATTGCATGTGATTGCGAAGAAAGTATATATAAAAGAAAATAAAATAAAATAAAATAAAAGAAGAAGTGATGTGGTTGTCACGTAACGCATCGAGACAAAAGGAGAGAGTGGCCCTCTTCGATGTCTGCCTTTAATTTGTCCCTCTCCTTGCCGTACTCGTCGTTGCTAAGTATCAAAAGCTTGATTACCTTCTTTAATTTATCTTATTCAAATACTGTTTAACCTAATTAATTCTTAGTGTTAAAACAGTTAAATTCTCTAATATGGATCTGATACGTTCCCCAACCACCACACGAAGGATCGATTATCCACAATTTTTATATAAGCAGCACCTTAAATTAAATCATTGTTTTTTAGAGATTTTGTAAGTTGTCTGACTATTATTGTGGCTATGATTAGGACGTCCATCTAATTACAAGCTATCGAGTTTTGTAAGTATTAATGATAAGTATACTATGTTGGCTTCAATTTATTGAATTATGATTCTAGATAGTTTGTCAGTTGTTGGAATTAAGATTGTGACAATACAAAAAGTGAGATATTATAACAAATTAAATGCCAAGAAAACAATAACAGAAAAACTGAAAAATAGAATTGTCAAGAAAATGTAAAACTTATTTTTAGACCGAAAAAATTAGATACTTTTACGTTGTGGCCATTAAAAAAAAGAAGGAAAAACTCGTTATTTTTTGTTTCTTCCTCTTTATCGATTTCTATCACTTGTCAATGTCACATCAATCGTCTATTTCTCTATTCCTCCCATTTCTTCCTTTTTTTTCTTCACTCTCATCATTCATGCATCTCTCTACTCTCATGCTCTGTTTTCTTCTATATATTTTTACTCAACCAAAAACTGTCTTAAGGAAACCAAAAGAGAAATAAAAACATATCAGGTTCAAAATCAGCACGATTACTTTTTGTAACATTTGTAAGGAGATTGCTACATATCTTGGTTCGAAAGAAACATATCATTCTTCAAAAGATAGATTATTATGATTGTCAATTGTTTGACCAAAAAGAAAAAATTACGCAAACTAAATCAATATGGATTAGCAATCCAATGGTCACCGACGCACCGTTCTCTTTAGTCTTTATTGAGAAAATATGCTTATTCAGTTTCATTACAAAATGATGTTTACAAACCTTTTCAAATTTTTAGAATTTTTAGATTCAGATGTATTTAGAATTATCTGTTTATGTTAAAACTAAAATGTATTAAACAGTGTTCAAAAAATCGGCCTAGTCGGCTAGTCGGGTTTAGCCGACTCGATTTTTATAAAATCAGTGAAGAAAATCCGGTTTAGTAAAAAATCGGACCAAGTCAGAGAAAATCGGAAAAATCGGTAAAATCGACCAAATCAGATTAATTATTTTTATCCTTTTTTAGTCAATTTTTTACGGTTTTGGATAACTCGAACGCTCACCCCAGCCATAAAAGTTTTTATCCATGGATAGTAAACCAACATCGGTTTATAGAAAAGAGAAAAAAAAGATTTAAAACGTAGATTAAGGTTAATAACTTAATATAATCATCTTCGTTCCTCCCCACTATTTCACCTTCATAAACTACAAGAAGCGATCATCATTTTCTATTGCTAAACTCTACGAGTTTGTTTAATCTTCTCTTTATCTATCTGTATATATTATATAACTATATTGTATTCTCTAAATTTGTTTTTTCATCTTTGTTTACTTTGTTTATGCTCTGTTTCTAGTTTCAACTTTCAATTTTAATGTTGAGCCTAGAGGAGATATCGATTCCGACGATGAAAATGATATAGCTATTGATTTTGAATTTGAGTCTGAAAATGAGCAGGTGGTGGATATGGATGTGTTTGAAGAATAAGTTAGATAGATTTTTCTTTGCTTTACATTTTAAAAATTTTTAGATTAAAACTTATTTTAGTTTGAAGAATTTGATGATTTTTAGTTGATTCTTTGTTGAATTTTATTTTATAATAATAATTATTAATTTTTCTTACTTTTTTTATTCAAACATAAATTTTGATAAAGTATTTTTTAAGAAAACAATTAAATTTTTTTAAAAATATGATATATAGATATAAAATTTATAAAAATTAACAAAAATTTTGCTAACGCCTAGGCTCTACCTAGTCTCCAACTAATCCGCTTAGGCGCTAGTCTTCTATCACCTGTCTAGCCATTGCCTACCGATTTTTTGAACATTGATATTAAATTTAGAAAACAGTGTAAGATAAATAAACTAATTACAATAACCACAAGTCCACAACAGAAAGTTAGGTTTGATTTATCATTTTGAGTCTTTTAATGCTTGATCTCTATTCTCTAATCTATACAGCTATGCTTCTATCTGTCACCAGTGAAACTATGTGTTTTTCTTTTACAATATTATTATGGTAAAAGATATGAACAAAGGTTCGATTAGCAAAATATTGGAAGCTTCTAAATTTCTAATCTTCAACCGGTAAAACGGGGTTGTGTCAAAACATACAAGAAAATCAAACCAAAATTGTTAAGCCCTTTAATTATAATAACCAATGGGTCCATGGTTTAATTACGATTAATGGGCTCAAAAATCTTCATAATTCATTTTCGATAAGAAATGTAGAAGACTTTGTATATGCAGTATACTGTGTAGTGTATACCTACAACCTGCTACCTAGCATGAACCTCACAAGTCATAATCTATAAGGTTGGGTCTGGGCATATTATGTTTCCGTAGATCTTGCATTGGTGGGAGCCTCTAGTTTTTAGATAATTTTAAGATATGTGCTCTATAGATAGAAGAAGATATATTGCATTTACTTTTCGTAGATATTATCTGCATTTTTTCTTTTCGTCGTACTTATGGAGAAGTCTATGATAATATCTGTTTTAACTTTTAACATTAGGGAATCTCATGATCTTGAAAAAGAATATCCTGTCTTAGTCTACTGATATATTGAGCATTTTTTCACAATTTATTAGAATTCGAATCAAACTTAGTTGGTGGTTTTTTTCTAGAGGATTTACCACTAGGACAAATGACAATCAACTTTAATCGAGAAAAGTAGGATGACAAAAAGAAAAAAGGTAGGATGACAAAAAAATTTCAAATATACAAATATTTCATTTTATTTGTATATTTAAGTAATAAAATGAAATATTTTTATATCTAGTAACACTATCACAAATTCTAAGAAAATGTGTATTCATATATTAATCCTTTCTAAAATTAACTACGGTTGTTATTTTTTATTTTGGTAAATGTATTCTTATTTTTTTGTAATTTAAAATGTCGAAGTTTTTTTTTGTTGAAGAGAAATGTTCGAACTAATCTTGTATGTATGAAGTAGATCAAATGACAGTACGTACGTAGTAGAATTATTTGCTTACGAAACAATCTTCAAGTAACTGGTGTTTCGAAAATCTATAAAAAATTAATCTATGCAGGTAGATTGTGATAATTGTCACTTGAGATGTGATTCTTAATTGGTGATCGACTAATTGTTCTATTAGTCATAGCAAAAAAAAAAACTTATTCTATCAAAAAATCAGATCCTCTGTGGTGTCAAAATGTCTCTACATGGGCAACGATGAAATTAAATTTGAAAAGCCCAAATAAAACTTGTAAGCCCATGTTTTTGTAAAATTTGGAGCACTTTTGCACATCTACTGGTGGTATAGGCCCGTTAATTCGGCTGGAACAGCAAAGCTACTCTATTCAAATTTACCATAATACCACTCTTAATCTTCTTCTTCCTAGAATCTTCATAATCCATTCTCCATTAATCACTCCTAGAATCCCTAGGGTTTTCTTCTACCTTCTTCCGACAATCACACTCACCAAAAGGTACAATCAGAGAAGAGATTACAAAGGGAAGAAGATGAGTTACGAGGGTAACAGAGATGCCGTCGCCGTCGCAATCGATGAAAACAACAACAACGAGAACTACATAGCTCTGGCTAGCTCTCTTGGTGGCGAGGACGGTCACGAAGACTCCAAGTCTCGAGTATGTATTCTTGCTCTTTGTTCAATTGAGTGGCTTATTTTCGTGTTCGTTGTGTAGTTGTGTTAAGACGAGTGATGAGAATTCAAGAGTGTTCAATTTAGGATTCATAGGTTCCAGTTTAGTCGTCTGTCTGTTGTAATTTGGTACCAATTTCAATGTTCTGCTTCTTCTCTTTCGTTGAATTCTGTTTTTGATAATTTGATTTAGAGGGTTTCTCTGAAAATAGGCTATGCTTTTAGCTATGTAAAGGGTTGGATATGGTCATATTATTCTTCCATTGGCCTTGCATTGTTGGGAGCCTCTGGCTTCATAGATATTATTTGCGTTTTACGTTTTGTTTTATACTTATGGACAAGCCTTCTACATTTGTTTCCAGCAGGAGTCTCATGATCTTGAAAAGGATTCTTCAAGAAGCAGGGAGAAAGACAAGGGAAGGAGACGTGATAAAGATGGGGACAAGGATCGTGATAGCCATCGTGAGAAGGACCGTGAAAGGGAGAAAAGCAGAGATAGAGATAGGGAAAGAAGTAAGGATAGGGAACGAGACCGCCATCGTAGGGATCGTCATAGGGACCGTAGCAGAGAACGAAGTGAGAAAAGGGAACGTGATAGAGATGATGTGGATGATGATGATCATTACAGAAGTCGAGACCGTGACAGGTACTGATAGTGTGTTACAGTCGTCTTGTCAGCTTTAAAATTGTTTATTCTTAATTTGATGGTGTCATATTTTATCGACAGGAGGAGGTCTCGCGATCGTGACAGAGAGGAGAGGCACAGGCGACGGTCACGCTCTCGTTCAAGGAGCCGCTCTGAACGTAGGTCAAGGTCAGAACATAGGCATAGGTCTGAACATAGATCACGTTCGCGTTCACGTTCACGGTCAAAGAGGTACGTGGTTCTCTGTTTTTTTTTAATCTTTAATGTCAATTTTTTTTCTTTTGTGGTGGTATTGCAATGTGTAATGATAGCAAGTCAAATAAACCCCTTATTCTTTAGTACTGTTCTGGAGAATATCTCTACGAGAGTCTTGAGGTTTATAGGCAGTTGGTGTGATATCCCAAAGATGTAGTGTGATCTGAATATTTGACGTTTATGTGTGTTTCTTAGGTTTATTTCAGGCAATAATTTTTTGTAGTTGTTTCGACTGATGATGTCTGACCGCTTAATTTATGCTCTTTCAGCAAGAGGGTGAGTGGATTCGATATGGCGCCTCCTGCTTCTGCAATGTTAGCTGCTGCCGCCGTTGCTGCAGCAGGTATATGCTTCATCATCTACTGAATGTTATTATTTTTCTTAACTGCTTGTTGTTTTTGGTTTTACGTAGTTTGGAAAGATCATAATCAATTTCACGGTGTGAATTTGGTAAGCTGCATTTCCATTGTTTACTCGTGAACAGAGGACTTTAAAGTCTTGTTCTCTTCTTAGGATGTCTTTCTATTATTGTTGCCTGGTGAAGTGGTTCTGGAACTGAGAAACTTTTTTTGTTTTGTCTTTTTTTGGTGGTGTTTGTTTGTTTCTGTGCCTTGTCTTTTTGTAGTAAGAAGGCTATGTTGGGTTAGTTGCCCCACTGTGCTGACAATGAGCCGACCTCTCTAGCTTTAATTGTACAAGGAGGAATCAGTGCAACGGTTGTCATTGGTATTCTTCGTCTTCGACTGGCAACTATAATGCCTGTTTTCTAGCCTTACAAATTTTGAAGCAGATATTACATTACACTTTTCATCTTTTAATATTCATAAGATGTTGGTTTACTCTGTCCTGGCGGGTTTTGTTGGTAGGAGGGTGTTATCTGTAGCTTTGTACTTGTTGGTATGTTTGCTCATCCGGGAAAATAATAATTTCTGACAAACACTCTATGATGTGTACTACTTGTTCTAACAGGTCAGGTTCCTAGTGTGCCAACTACTGCTACTATTCCGGGAATGTTCCCCAGCATGTTCCCAATGGTTCCTGGTCAGGTATAGAACCTTACTCTTGGTGCCTCTTAGTATATATTCCTCTTTTCTCTTGCTTTTATGCGAATATACTCATAAAATCTCATTCTTTTTTCTCACCTAGCAATTGGGCGCGCTTCCTGTAATGCCAGTTCAGGCAATGACGCAGCAGGTAAGATCTAAATCCATCTCAATCTTTGAATCTTTGCCTTTTTTCAAGGTTCCCTTCCTAAAAATTTGTTATGATCGCAGGCAACTAGGCATGCTCGGCGAGTGTATGTTGGTGGCCTTCCACCATCTGCAAATGAACAGGTTTGTCATTCTTTTTGTTTTGTTTTAAGGGTTTGTGACTTGTCGTATACTATGGTCTTTTTAATCACTTCGGCAATATCAATTGTATCACTTCTGAGTTTGGGTTTCCGTGTTCTAGTCGGTGGCAACATTCTTTAGCCAAGTGATGTCGGCCATTGGGGGAAACACTGCTGGGCCAGGTACTGAAAAATTCATTGTTTTTGTCCAAGATTTGTGACATATCTAGATGAAAACTAATCCTCTTTTTCATATTTTCATTCATAGGTGATGCGGTGGTCAATGTTTATATAAACCATGAAAAGAAGTTCGCTTTTGTAGAAATGAGATCTGTTGAGGAGGCAAGTAACGCAATGGCATTAGACGGCATTATATTAGAGGTGATCCATTATCTCTTCTATAAGTTATATGTTGAGTTTTGTTAGTTACAATATGAATTGTGAGTATTGATTTCATAGCTCTGATCATCTGTAGGGAGTTCCTGTTAAGGTGAGGAGGCCAACTGACTATAACCCGTCCCTTGCTGCAACTCTTGGTCCGAGCCAGCCTAATCCCAATCTCAACTTGGCTGCTGTTGGATTATCTACGGGGTCTACTGGTGGGCTCGAGGGTCCTGACCGCATTTTTGTGGGCGGGCTTCCTTATTACTTCACAGAGGAACAGATCAGGGAGCTCTTGGAGTCTTTTGGTCCCCTAAGAGGTTTCAACTTGGTTAAAGACAGGGAAACTGGAAATTCCAAGGGGTATGCGTTCTGTGTTTTCCAAGATCCTTCGGTAACCGATATCGCATGTGCCGCCCTGAACGGGATTAAGATGGGCGATAAGACACTTACAGTTAGGCGTGCCATCCAGGGTGCAATTCAACCTAAACCTGAGCAAGAAGAAGTGTTACTTCATGCCCAACAACAGATTGCATTGCAGGTGAGGGACTTACTTGATTGATTGTCTGTTAACTTCAAGCTTTGTCTCTATATATCGTTTGGCTTTTACTATATCGAATAAACTTTCTGAAGATACTGATTACATTCGTCTCGAACTTCTTTGAACAGAGGCTTATGCTGCAACCTGGACTAGGAGGCACACCCACCAAGATTGTCTGCTTGACTCAAGTGGTTACAGCTGATGATCTTGGTGACGATGAAGAATATGAAGACATAATGGAGGACATGAGACAAGAAGGTGGAAAATTCGGTAAGCAAGTCAATACTTTTTTTGTGTAAATTTCTGACATATGCCATTTGCATACTATTCAGGCTTTTTACATGGTCCAAACATTTGATAATTCATTGCTGTGTGTGCAGGTAACTTGGTGAATGTTGTGATTCCAAGACCTAATCCGGATCATGATCCAACACCAGGAGTTGGAAAGGTTCGGTTTCAACTCTGAGAAACAGTTTTTTTAACTAAATTAATCAACACATCCCTCTAAATGATATAATATTTTATTATATTAATGCAGGTTTTCTTAGAGTATGCTGATGTGGATGGGGCAGCAAAGGCTAGGTCGGGGATGAACGGAAGAAAGTTTGGAGGAAACCCAGTGGTGGCTGTGTATTACGCCGAGAACAAGTATGCACAAGGCGACTACGAAGGCTGATATCTTTCTTTACTTTGAAAAAGTTTGGATCTTTTTGTTTCTCTTGTTACATGTTTAGGTCTCTCTTTACTAAATGGAGATATTTGTTTGTCTAGATAATGACTGCAATAGTATCAATGGAGTATTGTCTAGGCACAATCAATGTTTGTGTTGGATAATTATAGTTTTGGTTTTCATTAAAACACCATTGAGTTAAGTGTTATTATTGTCCTCCTACCGGTTCGAAAGACCAAACAACATCAGATTACATATAAAAAATGCATTTTAGAAACCTTTTGAGTGTGTACATATGCGTGGAAGGTGTTACTTTGTCTTTGCGAAATTGAAGCTATTTCACTTAAAATATGTATAGAGAAAATAAATGGGAAACTAACAAACAACAAGCACCAGTGGTCTAGTGGTAGAATAGTACCCTGCCACGGTACAGACCCGGGTTCGATTCCCGGCTGGTGCAACGAGCTGTGAGGATTTGGCTTTAGCGTTGGTTGGGTCCTTCGCACTACTCTGATGTCTCAGATGTGATATAGCCCTTTGTCTGAGCTCCCCTTTTTGTATTTTTTTTTTGTTGACAATTTGTTGTGGAGACTGGAGAGTCATCTGATTGTTAGTTGGACTGGATTATATCTTCTTCTTTCTTTTTTTTTCTTTTAAATTCCCAAAAACATTGTATAGGATAATGTTTGTGTGTCTCCACATCAATTATATATTGACTGTATAAATTGACTAAAATAAAAATTAATCTATGAGTTAATGCTAATAGGCTATCTTTCTGATTGTTAGTTGGACTGGATTATATCTTCTTCTTTCTTTTTTTTTCTTTTAAATTCCCAAAAACATTGTATAGGATAATGTTTGTGTGTCTCCACATCAATTATATATTGACTGTATAAATTGACTAAAATAAAAATTAATCTATGAGTTAATGCTAATAGGCTATCTTACAAAATTTCAAGAGGAATTAGGGTTTGCAATTAGGGTATTTGGTGGGAGAAAATAATGATCTGCACGCCACGTGAGTTGGGCATGCCTTTAGTTAACTTTTTAATCGTGGGCTAATCTTTAATTTCTCCCACATCGGCTAATTACTACCCGAATCATGAGTATATAAACAGCTGTTGATTACATTAAGATTACCAACTCGTGGGACATGGTGGCTTGGGACAATAAGGTTTGCTTAACCAAGTGTACCAAGTGGTCACATACCGGTCCATACTCCTTCTGGCAAAGGGTCCTAGGGGCAAGTCTCTCTCTTGATAGATGGTCTCGGTCCACTCTCGTCGAGCGGTTGTATGATCCCATGAGTGCCATTTTTTTTTCTCAGTGATTGAATGTGTTGAAACAATGGAGACGATTCTTGTTATCTCTATAGAGATCACCCATTATAAACAACACGCTTCTGAAGAAGAATCTGAGGTGAGAAGGTACCTAGACTTTGGGTTCCAAAGCTAATGATATTTTTACATTTTATACTAAAATAAAGAAAGCCTATTCAAATGTAAAAATAGGATATCTGTTGACGAAGAGAGTTATATTTAAAATCTACTTGATGGTTGGACACATCAAGTAGATGGATCATTCTTTCAAATAACTAATTACTTTTAACTAGTGTAACTTCCCAATTTCTCGTTTACAAATGTGAATTTGAACACATATAACTTATCGTTAAAGATACTCATATAACTTAGTTATGCTGGTGCAATGAGCTGTGATGATTAAGGATTCGGCGAAGGTTGGGTCCAACCATCGCACTCTTCTAATCTACTTGATGTGTTGTAGTCTTGTTACTGAGCTCATTTTTTTCGAGAATACCTTCCTCATAAACAGTTTCTTGGGATTGAAGATTCCGTAGGATCTAATGGCTGAAATTATGACACTAAGAAGGATAGGTGGCGTTTGAGGTTATGACATATCAACACGTGGGTAAAAATAGTTTCATGTCCAAACCCAATCCGAACTTTGTCCGGACTCACACCATCACTCTACAGTAGATATAGCCAAATCTATATTGTGTGTTAATGCTGTTTGTATATGCACATCTTTGTTCATATCCTCTCTAGTGTTTGCGTATATATTCACATGTACTTCTTTAATGGAAATGAATTCGGATTCACCACGCCTTCTACATGGCATCAGAACAACAAATCTCCCATGGAACACAATACGAGTCCTCAAATCCTCTTTCTCAATCTCCAGTGAAAACAGAAACCCTAACTAACACGACTGTACTGAACCAAGACGAGACCAAGAAAGAGACAACAGAGTTCGAGAAGAACAAGAAACGGTACCAAGACCTAATCTCCACCTTTCCACACGCAAAAGGATGGAGACCGAAAGCTCCTCTGATCGGGTACGGAGGTCACTGGATAATACAACCTCTTCTTGAAGGTTGCCTTTTTGCGCAAGACTTCTTCCAAGCACGACCAAACGACTTTTTCGTTTGTACCTACCCAAAATCAGGGACCACTTGGCTTAAAGCTCTAACTTTCACCATCGCAAACCGATCTTGCTTGGACCAATCCTCGAACCCACTCCTAAAACGTAACCCTCATGAGCTTGTTCCTTTCATAGAGATCGAGTTCCCTTTCTTCCCTCAACTTGATGTTCTCAAGAACAAAGAAAACTCTTTGTTCTCGACTCATATGCCGCACGGGTTATTACCCGAGTCCATTTCGAAATTGGGGTGTAAGATGGTTTACATATGGAGAGACCCAAAGGACACTTTCATCTCCATGTGGACTTTTTTCCAAAAGCAAAGGTCAGACAATGGCCCTCTCAATAGTCTTGAGGAGTCTTTTGATATGTTCTGTCGAGGTTTCTCTGGATACGGTCCTTATCTAGATCATGTCTTGTCATATTGGAAAGCTTACCAAGAGAATCCAAATCAAGTTATGTTCCTTAAGTATGAGAAGATGAGAGCTGATCCGTTGCCGTATGTGAAGAAACTGGCTGAGTTTATGGGTTATGGATTCACAGGTGAGGAAGAGAATGAAGGGGTTGTTGAGAAAGTTGTGAATCTTTGTAGTTTCGATATGTTGAAGAATCTTGAAGCTAATAAAGGGGAGAAAGACAGAGAGGACATTCCTTGGAGTTTTTATCCGAATAGTGCGTATTTCAGGAAAGGGAACGTTGGTGATTGGCAGAACTATCTGACTCCGGAGATGGCAGCTCGAATCGATGGATTGATGGAAGACAAATTCAAGGGCACTGGTTTGCTTGAACATGTTATATATACTTAGTTTGGAGCAGAAGTTTTGCTCTTTTTCTAAGTTTGATTTTGAATTGTAGTAGTAGAGGAATAAATGTTGCCTATGTTTTACCCTAATGTACAGTTTCTATAAATAGAATAATTGGCTTTAAAGCCATTAATCTTTGCCTGATGAGTGAAAAGTCTGGATCCTCTGAAACTTGTGATTTAAGCCACAAGTAACATAAATCAAAGATCTTTTCCCTCGTTAATAATAAAACGATACAGACAATAATGACATACAGAACAAAACAGACTATCCTCTGTTTTTCACTAAATAACAAAAGGACTAGGAGGTTTATCAATTTATTTCCATTAGTCAGACTTTCTTATTCTTGATATTTGTTATGTTTGCTATTGATTTGATAAACTGATACCGTTTACAATCATCGATAGTATAGAAAAAGGTAAAATAACATGATACTTTCTCAAGGAAAATTGCAGCAAACTCATAATGTTCTTTAAAAACCCTAACAAAATTAATAAGTACACCACTAGATTTAATATAAAACTATCGGACTAATGTATAAAAAGAAGCTTATTATAAATTAAAAAAAAATTCAAAATAATGGATCAATCTTGAGATCAGTAAAAAAATCATCAAGACGCAGAATATCATCATCATTCTTTACCAAACTTTCAGAACCAGAAGTTCCTTCAAATTCAGTAATTTGATTCGTCGTCTCTTCGTTGTTGTTCGTCTTCGTGTTAAGAAGCTGAGGAACCTCCTCCTGGTGAATCACTAAACCTCCATCTCTTTGATTATTACTCTTCATGGTATCTAAACGAAGCCTAACATTGTTCAACATCCTTGAAACCGCATCGGTAGCATCTTTCAGCTCTTCTAAGTTCTCTGATCTGTCAAAGGCTTCGTCTTCCCACCAAAACCCTAATCCTGACCCTTGCTTGTTCTCTTGGTTTGTCGGAAGAGGAGACTGCTCGTAAAGCAGAGAAGTGACAACGTGATCAACAGAGGAATGTCCAAAGGAGTAGAAAGAAGCGTGAGAGTTGGAAGAAGGAGGAGTCGCTAAGATTGCGATTTGAGTTGCTGGAGAGAGAAGACAGAGCTCAGAAGCTTTGCGGAAGAGACCGTTACGACGTTTTGTGAAAGCAACCGATATTGCATTTTTCTTTTCGATTTTCTCGATTTTTATTTTACGTTTTATGCCTCCCATGTTTGTAAGAAAGATATCGAATTACACAGACAAAGAATGTTTGCTTCTTGCATGCTCTCTTTTATAAAGCTCTCTTCTCATCTCTTAGCTCTTAATTAACATTTTTCCTTTTTTTTTGATTCCCCATTTGGGAAATTTCCATAATGGGTTGTTTCTAAATTACCTCTTTAATTACTTAAGTAAATAGACAAGAGTTCTACTATTTTTCTATTTGTTTTACCTTTTTCCTGTTATTTATGGACTCAGTTATTTCTTTTTCCGGAAATTTAAAATTGCGGAAAAGTTAAAAAAAAAAAAAACCTAATTTTTGTTAGCAGAGTTTTTGGATCAAAGCTAAATTTTTTGTTAAACCGAATTGGAACTAATTTATATCCAAAGTCTCTGTTATAACTGCGCTTACTGGTTACTACGAGCATGTTTGAAACCCTAACATATTGTTCGAGTTCTCTCATCCATCAAAAACATAACCTTGAAAAAGGTTACATTTAGTTTTCAGGAGAAATACCATCTTCTTTCGTCCTCTTCTGTTTACAGAGAAGCATCACAACAGGCAGAAGTCGACACTGGGTTTTGGATGAAATAGGAGTGAGTAAATGATAGTGAATTCTGAGTTGGAAAGATGATTTTTTATTAAAATTAGGGTTTCCAATTAGACGATTTGTGGAAAGCTGAAGTGCTCACGTGCATGTGAGCTAAGCATGGTTTTCTACTTTCAATTTAGTGGGAAATTATCACGCGATCTTAATTAATAAAAAGGATGATCTTAATTGTGGGCTAATCCTATCTTATTCGCAAGTCGCTAATTCGGTCCGCGAGCAAGGGTGGTATATAAGCAGTTGCTGGTTAATGGTTATGATAAATTAATAAAGCTCATAGGGACATATATGTGGTTTAGGTGTAAGAGTTTGCTTAACTAGAATCCCTAAGTCGCATCCCGGTTCGTAATCTCTATTGCGAGGTGATTACAGGCAAATCTGTTTCTTGACGGATTGTCTCGGTCCATATCTCGTGGACACAATCTGCGGGGTAATGATGCCATGAGTGCCCTTTTTTTGTGGAAATTTTGTAAATCATAGATTTTATTTTCATTTTAACGATAGATTTCTTTTGAGGTAACCTGCTAATTAATCTTAAAATTCTTTTATAAAAGTTTTAACCTACACGCTTTGTTCATGGTGAAACATAACCATAATTTTTTTTTTTGTTGAAGAATGGGGATTACTAATTAATTTAGCTCTTATCTGTCAAGTGTCAACTATATGTAAATTGATTCTAGCTTTTCTTTTTTTTCTTGCATCTGATTTGATCCTTTCCCAATTCAAAGTTTGTAACACTAGTAAATATAGAAGCATTAGAACAATATAGAAATTTATATATTCTTGCTTTTTTACATTTATACCTTCAAAAAGCTACCCAATACATTTTTGGTTATCCAAGGTATCTTCGTCCTTTAGTTTCCTCGTTATGTTTATGTCTAGCTCCAGGTATGTTTTCCAACAACCATTTATACATTGTATAGAGAGAAAGGAATGGTCGAATACACCAACGTACAAGGCAATTATCCATTTATCCTCGGGATCTCAAGTGGTGGGCTAATAATGGTTCTCGATTTTGGAGGAGTTGCCCTGTTATTCTAGGCTAGAGATCAATTTCTTGTAAGTGCAGAATTAACTAACCACTCTTACTTGGCCAGTCGAAGATGGTATGGTTTAAACCTATTTCAAAATTCGATGAATGAGTTACTTGATGGTATCACGCAACCAATATATTAATTGAGTGGAAAAAGCTCGAATTATCCATTATTAATTAAAAACAAAAATTCCTTGGGACTACCTAGCTTGCCTCATCTCCAAACTCCAAAGGGGTGTGGAATCGAATTGTTTTTTCTCCGCAATCCAAATTCCGTAAAAGAGGTATCTTTTCTTCTCAACCGTTGGAATGTCGTTACCTTGGACTAGTTATTTTTTTTTTTAAGTGTTTCCACTTGCTTTTGCTTTATACATGTCAATATCTACTTTGTAAATAACGTTTTTTTTTTGTGGATCAATCAATTTAACATTTTAATCCCTCAGAATATAATATTTACATTCCTTAAGGTACATATATCATTAAAAAATCCCGTGAATATGGATTCAAAATATGCAGTATTCAACTAATTTCTCGTGTAGAAGATAACATGTGTTTGGAAAAAGAAGTTTTGTTTTCTGTGGATCCAGACCAATGGTTGGAGATTTATATAGCTCTGAGATCGGCTTTTTAGTTTCTTTTGCTATTTTTCTTGCTTAGTTTTTGATAGTTATTTACATGAAACTTTTTCAATGAATTTGACAAGAGAAAATATTTAGTTCAGTTGAGCCGTTTTGAATAGGTAACTGATAGTAGAAGTGGATGGCCGACAACAGTTTTTTCCGGTTTCAATTGCTAATGGTTATTCATTTGGCATTGGTGGATTTCTCATTATATATTACGATTACTCTAAAAACAGTTTAAATATAAATTTTTAATTAATTGTCTGGAATAATATCTTAGAGCATCTCCATTTCTAAACCTCTCCTTTTAAATAATGTGGTGGAGTCTATTTACTTTTCTCCACATCAATTACAAGACACAAAATCAAAATGATAAATCTATTTGTTTTTCTCTTCACTTTTCACCCTGTTAAGAGTGCCACGTTAGTAAAAACTCCTTAAAAATAGGTTCTTAAATAAGAGATTTAAGAATTGAATTCTTAGATTTTTATTCATTTTGTATTTATATTTAATACTTAAAAATACTAAGAATCTCTTATTAGTTCGGGATGGAGATGATTTTAGTGCCTAGAGTAATAAAAAAAGATTGGCAGCCCTAGTCAATCTGAAGCGTTGATAAATAGTTTTAGATATATATGACGATCATATTACTGGAGATTTAATCAGCCCATAATCAAAGATGAAAGCATCTGCATAATATTTAGTCGTACATTCACAAAAACATATTATTTACTTCAGGTCTTTATTATTGTTTTTTTTATTTTATATAGAGTTGTTATAAATTCTTCGATGTTTTGATTTTATTAATAAAATATCTGAATATTGTGTGCTTTGGAACATGTTTCTTTCATAAAAACTGCAGTGGCATGAATGCAAAAAAAAAAGAAATCATACCATACATACGACATGAACGACTCAATTCTTTTATGTCAACTACACCATCTTTTGAGCCACCCAAGTCAGATTTATTTGATATCGATCGAAAACGATCGAATTGAATAAGGGCAATTAAATACATCACATATGTACGTTTTTCTTTGTTGAATATACAGATCGATATTCTAATTTATTAAAATCCTTTTGATATATTTTTATTACTTATATATTACTAAGAAACTAATACAGTATATAGGTTTTGGAACAAAATGAAACAAACAGTATTTATTGATATACGTAGTACGTATGGTATATGTAAAATTGTTATATGTTTATTTATATAATTTTATATGTAGAGTTTGTGTAATTATATCAAACTAGCTATAATGTATATCTTTAATTTCAGAAAATATGTTGTAGTTTGTTAATTTAGATTTTTATCCCATAATTATCCGATATGGGAAATGATGATTTTCTTCCTTATATATGTCATATATTATATATACTTTTTTCGCCATCTGGCAAAATTAAATATCCCATTATTTAAAGCTTTTTTTTGGGGTCAAATATTTAAAGCTTATTTACCTACAGGTGTTTTGTGAACAAAATTTACTTGCTTACAGGTGTTACAAACTTTACATTACAGTTACAAGATCCTCTTTTCCTTTTGATTTTTTCCATACTTATCGGATACTCAAATGGTAATTCCTTTTATATATGCCATACACTATACATATTTTGCCATTTGGCAAACTCTGTCTTTGTTCAAAGATCCTCTTCTCTTTATACTTTAATGTTCTTTATGCATGCCTTACCAGTCATGCATGACTAAACCCTGTCTTAACTTTTTTTTGGATTCTTTTCATAATTGCCAGATACTGAAATGGTAATAATTTGTTCTATATGTTATTTTTTTAGTGTACGTGGCTATTTTTTCTTAGTGTACGTGGCTATTTAGTTACACGGTGTTACATTACATTCTCTCTTCTTTTGAGTACAAATAGCTTCATGCATGACTAAACCCAAACCAGACTTATCCTTAGAGCACAAGACGAGTCCTCCCATCCTCTCTTTCTATCTCCAATGGAATCAGAAACCCGAACCGATAGGTCCGATACAACCCTACCAAACCACCAAGATGAGACCGAGATCGAGTCAAGAAAGTTCGAGAAGAATCAGAAACGGTACCAAGACCTAATCGCCACATTTCCTCACACCAAAGGCTGGAGACCTAAAACTCCTCTGATCGAGTACGGTGGTTATTGGATAGTGCAGCCTCTTCTTGAAGGTTGGCTTCACGCGCAAGACTTCTTCCAAGCACGACCCATCGACTTTTTCGTTTGTAGCTACCCAAAGTCAGGTACCACTTGGCTCAAAGCTCTAGTTTTCGCTATCAAAACTCGATCTCGCTTTGACCATTCCTCAAACCCTCTCCTCAAAAGTAACCCTCACGAGCTTATCCCTTTCATTGAGGCCGAGTTCCCTTTAGTCCCTCAAGATGATAAAGGTATCACTCTGTTCTCGACTCATGTCCCTCACGGGTTATTACCCAAATCGATTTCGAAAGCAGGTTCTAAGATGGTTTACATATGGAGAGACCCAAAGGACACCTTTGTCTCCATGTGGAACTTCTTCCAAAAGGAAAGATCTGACCATGGCCCTCTTAATACTCTTGAGGAGTCTTTTGATATGTTCTGTCGAGGGTTGTCTCTTTACGGTCCTTTCTTGGATCATGTCTTGTCCTATTGGAAAGCTTACCAAGAGAATCCAGATCAGGTCATGTTCCTCAAGTACGAGAAGATGAGAGCTGATCCTTTACCGTATGTGAAGAGATTGGCTGAGTTTATGGGATGTGGCTTCACAGCTGAGGAAGAGAAAGAAGGAGCTGTTGAGAAAGTTGTGAATCTTTGCAGTTTCGAGACGCTTAAGAATCTTGAAGCCAACAAAGGAGAAAAAGGGAAGAAACACAGAGAAGACATTCCTTCTAGCTTTTATCCGAACAGTGCCTACTTCAGAAAGGGAAAGGTCGGAGATTGGAGCAACTACTTGACTCCGGAGATGGCTGCTCGAATCGATGGATTGATGGATGAGAGATTCAAGGGTACTGGTTTGCTTGCACATGGTGAATAGGTACCGGTTCGTGTTATGAGTAATCATTGATCCTTCTATGCTTAGTTTACTTTTCAGCGTAATAAGTTTGCTCATTTCCTCAGAGGATTATTCTATATTGTAATATGTTATAATTTGGAAGCACAAATCTTGTTTCTGTCTTCATTTGAAATGTTTTTTATAAAAGCAAATCTTGTTTTTGTTTGTAGCCTATTTGGTAGCCTGATTTGTGTAATGTTTTGATCCTATGCAAATCTCGTTAGATCCGAGCCTAATTAATCCCCGAAAATAATAACAATGATAACGAAATACATTGCTAGATAAGATGTAAATAAGCCTAAAATCGGACGTAAAGCAATCTTAAAATTTAGTGATTTGTTTCGTCGTCTCTTCACTGTTAATTCGTCCTTGTGTTAAGTAGCTGAAGATCCTCCTTTGATGAATCACTAAACCTCCATCTCTTTGATTACTCTTCACAGCATCTAACTACAGCCTGACATTGTTCAACATCGTCGTAAAACCGGCTGGGTCGCAAATCTTTCAACTCATTGACGTTCTCCAAATATTCAACTTTATAATTGAAAGCTTTCAGTTATAAAAGAACGATTCACTTTCATAAAATAAAGAAATACATTAATTTGTAGCATAAGAAAAAAAAATTAGAAAGTAAATTACCGCTACAAATTCACATCTAATCGCACATAAATATCTTCTAAAACGTTGGCTCTATCTACTTCGTCTCTCTTCCTAGTTAGTCTTTCTCTTTCTATATATATCTCTCAACTTCATCATTTCCAGAATCTCAAAAGTTCTCTGAAAAATTCCCAGATAGCCAAGAAGAAAACAAAGCCATGAATTAGCATCATCTTCTTCCGCCATTTCACATTTCATGGGCTTGGTTTGCTTCTTGGCCATTTGGGAATTTTTTAGAAAGCTTTAGAGATACTGGATATGAAGGAGGAGAGAGAGAAGGAGGAGAGAGAGAAGGAGGAGAGAGAGAGAGAGAGAGGTAACGAACACTATTTCGATGAGTACTTTCTATGAAGTGTAGTGAAAGAGAGGATCGGATATCTTTTCTTAACTTTTTTTGACGCTTATAGTGTACAGTGTACACAGATGAATAGAATCTGACGAACACTATTTCTACGGGTACTCTCTTGTTTTTAGTTGTGTTTTGTTGTGTGTGTGTTTTTCTATATAACAATATGCCTTTATATAGAAGAAGAGTGGCACATATATCATCACTTTGCCTTGAAATCTCAACGTATATGAATGGAGAATTTAAAAACGTATCCATCATCATAATGGTGACTTAATTACCATGAATTGATCACGTAACCTTTGACCAAATCAAAGTCTTAATGGCATTTGGGTTGATTTTGTTTATTCCTTTAATTTGTGTTTAAGTACTCTTTGACCAAATCAAAGTCTTTATTATGGGTTGATTTTGTTTATTTCTTTAATTTGTGTTTAATGGAATAACAACAAAAAGAATTAACATGAACTTAGAACATGTACATCAGGGGATCAAGAGGGGTTCATGGCACAGTTTTTGAGACAAAAGAGCTTAATCATGAAGAGACAGTATCATCCCGACGAACCTGAAGAGACGGTATCATCTCGAAATGAAGCATTCTGATTGGTCGAAAATTATAATTTTTGAATTAAATAAAAAAGAAAAACTAAAAAAAAAAAATATTATTATATTCTGGTGAACCCTACATGCTCTTAATCCACAAGAGTTAGTTAGTGAACATAAAGCCCAATTAACAATCCAAACCTAAATCCAAATAATAAAATATTAAATGTGCATCAAAACACGTAGAAGTCCACGTGATCGTGATTAAAACAGTACTGGTCGTGAATCGAGAAGATTATTCCGATAAAAATTAGGGTTTTCAAAGAGAATTTGGGGAAAATGACGTGCATGTGACTTTAATAAAAAAGGCTAATTTGAAACGTGATCGAACTAAAACGAAAGGTTGATTTTAATTGTGGGCTAATCATACATATATTTTGTCCCACATTGGTTAATTATCCTGACGATCAAGGGTATATAAAGGAGTTGATGATTATTACAAATTAACAAAGCTCATGGCACATCAGACATGCTAGCTTAGGTGTTACGGTTTGCTTAACCAAAACCCTAAATCACAGCCCGGTCCATAACTCGACTAATGGTCTCGGTCCATTCTCGTGGACAACATCGAGACGTATGATCCCATGAGTGCTACTTTTTTAAAATATTTTTAACCATTTCAATATTTTTTTTATATAAGATTATACAACAAAACTCTATAAATTAATAATGTTGGGACTTTGATATTTTATTAATTTATAGAGTTATTAATTTATAATTTTCAAAGAAAACAATATTTCTTATTTCTTCTTAATTTTTTTAAAAATTGTATAGTTTTTAAAAAGTTCTTTCTAAAGATGAATTTCAAAAAAAAGTTAATTTAAAATGAATTAAAAACATCACGATACTCGTACTTTAGTAGATTATCTCATATATATGTTTGAATAAGATGTTTTTATGGTAATTATTAATTTATGATATAAATGGGACCATATATTTACATAGAAGTTTTATTAAAGTTATTATTTTATTATCTTATCGAATTGTATCATATTTTGAACTGATCCAACTCAAAACTATGAAAAATTATTAATTTATAATGTTTATTAATTTATCGAGTATTAATTTATAGAGTTTCTACTATATATGCATAAAAAACATCGTAAAATCAAAATGGATCAATCTTGAGATCAGTAAAATAATCATTAATAGTCAGAATATCCTCCTCATCCTCTGAAAAAATTTCATTACCAGAAGTTCCTCCAAATTCGGTAATTTGTTTCGTCGTCTCTTCGTTGTTGTTCGTCTCTGTGTTTTGACACGGACGATCCTATTCCTCCTGGTGAATCACTAAATAATCAACGAGATGGAGGTTTAGTGATTCACTAGGAGGAGGAGGATCTTCAGCGTCAAATCACAAAGACGAACAACAACGTGATCGACAGAGGAATGTCCAAAGGAGTAGAAAGAAGCGTGAGGATTAGAAGAAGGAGGAGTCGCTAAAATTGCGATTTGAGTCGCCAGAGAGATAAGACTGAGCTCAGAAACTTTGCGGAAGAGACCGTCACGTCGTTTAGTAAAAGCAACCGATTTTGACTACTTTGTTCTTGATCTTCTCAATCTTTACTTTACGTTTTATGCCTCCCAATCTCCCATATTGATTGATTGATATTGTAAGAAATCAAGGGTTTTTTACACGGACAGAGATTGTTTGCATCTTCGTGATCTCTTTCTCTCTTTAATTATACTACTCCCTTCGCATCTCTCAATTTTACACTTTTTTGTGTGTTCCATTTGATTTTGTTACATGTTCAGAAAATTTTCATAATGGAGTATTTTCAGAATTACCATTTTTAACTACCTTATTAAATACGAAAATATTCTGTTACTTTTCCTTTTTAATGGTCTGATTTATTTCTTATTTTGGAAATTTCAAGCCGGGGGCAAAAGGTAAAAAAAAATAAAGAAGCGTTTCTTTGGTTCAGTTTTCGGATTAAAAGATTATATTTTTTTGGTCGAAAAAAAAAAGATTAGATTTTTGGGATGTTCGAATTTTTGAACTTCGTCCATTACTCTGTCTACGTGGTCCTGTGGATGGATGTTCGAATTTCCCCTTTAATAAAAACCCTAACATAATAGACGGTTCCGTGCGCATGAAGCAATACCCCATTGTACCTTTGCTCTCCTGTTTGTTGAGTTGCTACGACGACATGATGATGGGCAGAGGAGTCGTTAAGATGGATATTTGATCCCTTCCCAATTCTAAAAGTTTGTAACACAAACAAATTCAAAAGAATTAGAACGATATAGAATAATACCGTGTAGCTCTTTCACATCCAGTTTGAGGTTGTATGAGTTAGTTTGTCGTATAGTAAAACATGTAACTAATATCTCCACATCTGCAACAAGGGAGAATTATTTACACCGAGACACAATAAAACAAAACTACTCTCATTTACCATTTTGTTTTGGTCACATTTCACCATGAACCTGGTTACTATTTGTTCTTCACTGCCTTTTTGTGCGAGTGAGTCGGGGTCCAATCAGGATCATCATCGTCTGCTACATTTGGACTAATGTTCTCATTTCTTCTCCTCTTCCCTGACCCAGGACCCTCGCTCTTCTCTGTTCTGTAGTGCTCGTTGATGGTTGATTCAATAATTTCCAATAAACGATCCCCATGCTTGTTCACCTTGGCTCTGTTTAGAGTTTTAAGAGATAAACATCCCCTGAGTTTTCTTCATTGCTTTGGTTATTAAGAGTAGAGTTTAAAAAGCTCATAGATACTTACTTTCCAAGACCAGTGATATCGAGTAATTCCTCTTTGGTTCTGGGAAGGCGTTTACTTATCTGCCGAAGCGTCCCATTGCTACAAACACACAAGAGATTTTCTATTACTTATAATCTGAGAAGGAGACCGAAAATGTCATGAAACGGATTTTGAACTTACCCGAATATATGATGTGCCATTACTGCATCTGAGGATTCCTTGACAATATCAGTACGCAGCTTTTTCAAGGCTGTGTACAAGGTAACGGAGAGAATCTAGCCCGACATGGAGATAAATGAACCGGAATTTAGCAATACAGAGTGGAGTTAAAATTGTTGAGGAAAAAAACGGAAAAATAAAGGTAAAAAAGATATACCGAATCTTGTGAGGGAGCATGCGTCATTAGAGGAGTAAAAGTAGTTTGCTTTAGTGGAGCTTTTGCTGGGATTGCTCCTGATTTGCTCGTCTTTGATACTTTAACAGCCGAAGGAAATCTGCACATTGTATGCAACAGGTCCGATGTTTTAACAAGAGAATCTATTAGCTCTATCAAGATAATTGACCATTAGTAATTGACCATTAGTAGCAGCAATGGCATTGCAGTAAGAACAAACAGATTCCAGAGATTGTCTGAGCAGTATTGGTTTTACATAGCACCAAAATCATTTTCCTACGTTTGAGCTACTGCGCCACTTTAGTAGCAAGTAGTTCATGTGAGTATTAAGAAAAGATATATCGCAAGTGTTAAGCCATACCTCATTATTATAGTCTGGCCTCCAGATAAGATTGCGTCAGCCTTTGATCTATTCACCTATATAAAAACATAGATCAACGGATGTTGCGTGTAGACAGATACAGTGAATTAGAAGCATAATTAACAAAAGTGAAAAGCGAAAATAGGTTCAGTATCAATGACACATTACATATCCACAAACATCTCTTTTTATGACATAAACCAGAGTTAAATGCGAAAGTTGAATTATTTGTACCTTCAGCAACGACGATACAGATCCATACAGATAACTTTTTTTAACATATTCTGCGAGAATGTCCTTTGTCACAAGATAGTGCAAGATGCGAGAGGCTTCACTTTTAGCTAAATGCTTTCCTGCTCCGTGGAGGTGCAAAGTCTCATGTCTGTGTTTTTTGACCTAAATGCCAAAAGACAATTACTTGCAAGTGGTTCAGTGACACTAATAGGAATTGTGGGCTTGAGACAGAAATGTTTGAAATAAACAGAGTCTGGTAGTAGAAACAAAAGAAATGTATTGTTAGTTGGGCATACCGTCTGGTTTAAAGATCCCCTGTAGATTTCTATAATATGAGCTGAAGAAAACCTTTCTCCTGTTAGCTTCACCAATGCAACCTATCCAGCAACAAAAGATTATGGTAAGTCACCATCCAGTAGGTAAAATTACATGATGAACTTCAGATGATTCCTATACCAGTTGCCTTGCAATCAAAGTTACATCTTTGTCAATCAAACTTCTGCTGCTGGAACAATTATCACATGTCTTTTTGCAGTTTGTTGAATCAAATGTTTCACCCAAATGAACTAGCTGTAAGAAACGTCGACAATCGACCTCATTTTCACAGTAACTAACCTGAAGCAGTAAAATTTGGAAATATATCAGCAAGTAGATTTAGAACTTTGAAAGCAAACACAAGGAATCTTGACAATAAATACCATTCGAAGAAGGTTTTCAGTGTTCGTTTCGAGTATCCTCCCTGCACTTGCTAGACGATTATATCCCATTGTCGTGGGGCCTTGGCCAGGTCCTCCTTGGCTAATCATATGCTTAACTCGAATCTGAGATGAGAAAAAATGTTTTGTAACCACAAAAAATGACCAATTCCTCCAGATTGATAACTTGATAATGTGTTAAATTTATGCAACTTACATAATCACTATAACTGTAATACAAAACACATGATGAACTCTGACCGTCCCTACCAGCACGACCACATTCCTTGCATGAAAATAAAATTAGCCTATATAAGTTTCTAGCTGATATCAGTTTATGACCGATTGATGTAAAAAAGATATTTCATAATTGAATGTTCAATAACACACCTGATGATAGCCTTCTATGGACTTTGGGAGAGAGTGATGAATTACAAAACGAACATCAGGCTTATTGATTCCTGAAATACCAACGTTAGCAGGCAGCAAACTTCAGTCGATCAAAGTGGCTATAGGAGAGACCATTCATTACCCATTCCAAATGCAACTGTAGCACATATTATATTGATTTCATCCTTGCTCCATTGTTTCTGGACAAAGGCACGTTGAGCAGGATCCATACTGCCATGGTAGAAGGCTGCTTTATGGCCAAACTTCTGGAAAATAATATGCACATTCAAACTGGAGCATAATATATGTAAAAGACTCCATATTAAACACATACGAGAAAAGCAAAAAAAACGACCAACCTGCAACGCTTCAGTGACCTTTTCGCAGTCCATTCTTGAAAGACAATAAATAATGCCAGATTCATCAAAATGGTTTTCCCTGATAAACTTGTCAATATCTTCCAAGCACTTATTTGTCTTGGGAACAACAGAATACCTGCAATTTTTTTGGTAAGCAACATTTTAAAAACAGAATTCGTTTAAGCTATTTCAGTACATTACCATAGATTTGGGCGATTAAAACTTTGCCGGAACACAACACAGTTGACCAGGCCAAGAGCTTGTACAACATCTTCTTTTACGCTGGCTGTTGCAGTAGCAGTCAAAGCTAACATGGGAATGTTAGGAAACTTCTTCTTCAGAACACCAAGACCCTGCATATTCCAGCATTGTTTTTGGAGGAAAAAGAGGAAGGTTATGTTTTTGGAAAACAGAAATGTAAGAGGAGTGTCTGTTTCAATCCTTAAAAAAAGCTAAACCTGGTAGTCTGGTCGAAAGTCATGCCCCCACTGACTCACACAATGAGCTTCATCGATAACAAATCGAGCAAGCAAACTATGGGAGTTTAAGCTTTCAAGGTGCCTCAAAAGGGAATCACTTCTGTAGTCAAGAAAGAGAAGCTTCTCAGCTGGGTGTTACTGGTAATATCTTTCACAATAGGAAAGACTTGCCATACTTTCCGATATGCTAATAACTAATCTTAGAGTTATAAGTTTATAAGATGTCAGACTTTGATCCAAGTCTATCAAAAAACTATTGCAAGAATCTAATGCGATAATAATTTAGTATCAGCTAATATTTTCAGAATCAACAACTAAAGAAAATAATGACTCACTTTGCCACTTTTTCCGGTGTGACATACAGGAACTTGTATTTAGAATTCCCAGAGCTCAGCTCCCGAAGTATCTCTTGTTGTTCACCCCACTCCATTCCGGCACTTAAGGAAGCTGCAGGTATATTGGTCTATAACCATGATTCAGAAACCAAAGCGTAAATTGGGACAAACATTCTGAGTACAAATTATTAATGAAATAGAAGACAGAAACGTCTCTGGGGTTGCTAAAGTTCTCACCTGCAATAAGTTCATTATCTGGTCTTGAATGAGTGAAACAAGTGGAGAAATGACTAATGTTATTCCTGCACAGATCAGAGCGGGAAGCTGCAGAGAAAAAGATGGTACGAAGCAGTTTAGAGGGTCCTAAACACAGAGAAACTCTTCTGACACTGAAGTTTATCCTCCACCAGGGCAGAATACTAGCTTAAAGTTTCACTGTAGAACACATCTTGAAAAATGTCATCTCTTTTTCATAGAATAAAAGCCAGAAATAGCTTTAAGAATTAAAAAATGGCATATAGAAGTAACAGTTAAGATGTCATTACCTGATATGTCAAGCTTTTCCCCCCTCCGGTTGGCATCAAAACAAAAACATCACAACCACTCATTGTAGCATTGATGATCTCCCTTTGGTTGGGTCGAAATGAGTGGTTTCCAAACACTCTCTTGTTATTGATCTAACCATTGCAATGGAGTACATGAGTACACGGGAGGGAAGAAGTAAATAAAAGAATAGCGAAATACAAATAATCAATCACCTCCAAATTTTTCGTCCAAGGAAAATCACGACTGCACCACTTTGTGTCATTTGAACCATCGGTATAAGTGACATCTATAATCTCGGGAACATGTCGTTCCCTCTCCACAGGACCAGAAGAAAGACCATACCTATCTTCAGATAATAAATAGTCTCTTGGCATATTCCAGTTATCACTTACATATCTGCCTTGTTCTTCTCGAGAATCTGTTTGCGCATAATCAACCTTACAATTTGTTATTTGAGGTGTTCCGTACTGAAAATTATGAGTTGGTGTAGATGACTTTTTCCTTTCTTTATTTTGGATAAGTATCTCGAGCTGCTGAATTTGGTTTTTCAACAGTAACCTACCAACAATACAAATGTTAACAGCTTAAAAGCTACCCCAGAACTCAAGGAACACTCTCAGTTGTGATGCAATAAAAAAAAATGAAAATCAAAAACCAGACACGTTATCAGTTGTTTCTATAGGCCTAATTCTTTCTTGCTGTATCAGATCCTGGTAAATTTTATGTGTAATGTATCACAGTCTCTGAAAGAAACTAAATCATTTCTGAACAGAACAAAGCAAGGGAAAGGGAATATAATTGATGAGAATGCAAACCTCTCTTGACAAAGCTGCTCAGAATGATCACGGCTCAGGTCTGTAGAATCGTCAAGCAGTTTATTTGATATTGCAAGCAGTGCGTCCTTCATTTGTTCCACATGGGTGGAAGCTTCAAGACAAAGCCCTAACTGTGTTGATATTAAAGCAAACAAAATGAGAAACCAATCGGTCTATGAAATAACCATGGATAATGAGAGAAATGAGAGCCATACTTTTACTCCATGACTACAGTTCGAACATAATTCAGGAGGCAAACAGGGCACTTCTTCTCCTCTTGAAGCAAATATATTAACAGATGGTTGGGGGGTATACGTTAAATGGTAGTTTTCCATCACAATTTGGTCTACGTCAATAATCTGCGCTCCAAAGTAAGAACATGCTGGAGTTAATCTATTTTCTTATTCTGCACCAGTAACTAATAGAGGATTTCCTTCTAGATCCACCGAAAAACGGTGCAAACTCCAAACTTAGCTATTACAGTTTACTTGGCTAACTCTGAGAATAACAACAAATCCAAATTGAGAAAAAATTTGATTGTTTTCATGGAAAAGCTACTTAAAATTCGAAAAGGTGCCCTAGTTGCATCAAGAGCATTACCTCGAGTATGTCATCATCATCAATCTCAATAAGACTAGCTTCCACCTGCCTAGCTGGGAGTGCGAAGTTTCTGATTGGTTGTATGTCCATACCATTTATGTATTTACAACCGGTTACTGAATCTCTAACCTCATTATTTACCCGTGGAACCTTGCCAGCAGTTAATTTACCATCCCCTGGGAAAGAGGAGGAGAAACGGTCAAACGATCTTGCAGTGCCTCTTACACTCTCCTGACTCTGCTCTGGATGATTGTGTGCGTAGAAAGATCCATCAGCGTTAGATGTAACTTTAACAGTGGATCTTCCTCTCATAGAAGATGTACAATTAGTGCTGCTATCATCAACTGCAGGAGTGATGCCAGGTCTCAGGTAGGTATGATTTATTGAGAGATTTGTAAGAGCACACCAAGCCTGACAACATAATGATAACAGCGTAAGTTATATATGTATGTATAATGAACGCAAAGAGGCTTCTCTGCCAGGGGGAGATCAATTTGACAAAAACCAGAATCCAATAGCTACAGTAACCTAAGTATTTACTCATAAATGCAAGAGAAGGAAGAAGGTAAAATATGGAAGAAAGTTTTTCACGAGAAACATAACAAATTTTCCTTCCACAATATTACCTTTTCAATTTGTTGGCGTGTCAAATTCTGCATATTTACAGGGATGACGTTCTCAATTGGCCTAGAAAGATAATAGGTTCAAGCTTTTCAGAAAACTGCGGGTCAATTTAGCTATATAAGACTCAATAGAGTTTCCATCAAAGGACATTATCATGGACATCTAGCTTAGTTTTCATTGGGGGTGTTGGAAATCACTGAAAAATGGATCCACATATAAGACAGGTTTTGAAATATCCAGTGTTTAACCCATATGCAGAATGAGAACAAGTGATGACACAAAGATTCAAACGATGCTGAGAAAACTAGATGATACAGATTGGTGGAACACTATCCCTGAAGTCACTGGAATTAGTTATACGCGATCCTTAGTAACCAAGCAACTAACAGAACAGGACCCAGGGATAGGAAAACGAATTAACAACATCACAAGACAGAAAGAGCTGATAGTCCCTGAAAAGGACACATTGCAATCAATACCTTGAAGCCGAATCTCTACTTCTTCTATGCTTTTGACTTTCTAGAGAGTAAAGGAGATTAGAGCTCAGAGACTTATTTACGGATGGTATACACTCAAAGGCCTTGGCATGTTCCGACCAATTTGTTTGAGGAAAGTGACCTCTAGAGTTTTCAACTTCAGGGAGATAACTCCCACTGCATTTAAACAGACAGGAATCAACACCAATCAGGAAAACTAAAAGAAAAAATTCGGAAAAAGACCCAGAATGTACAGTGAAATACCAATTTTGCCTCAGTTTATAAGGACCGATCATAGGTTTAACACCCAAATAGCTTCCAGCAAATTTATCTTCTCTTGTCACCACCATTTAGTGCACTTCAGAACAAAGAAACAACAACAAACAACAAAAAGTGGCATTAAAGATTAGTGGAGCTGATGATAATGCAACAAAACCTGCAGAAATTGCGTAATATCATTAACTCTTGATACAAATTGTACCAAATTTATAAGCTGCGATCAGTAACCACCTATGACAAAGATTCTAGTGAGATACAGCGAATTTCACGTTTAATATCATAATCTGCGTAGTATCCTTCTTCAAAAAAAGCAGGAAGAATTAACCAATACGAACAATTAAACATGGTACAGAGAACTCCAGATTTTGGAATCGGAATCGAAGCGATCAGCTATGACTAACGAAGATTGTCTTCAACACACAGACATCGGAACAAATACTCAAAACTTAGCAGCAGATCGTAATCGCAGGCGGAGGAAGAAAAAAAGCGAATCAGTGTGAGGAAGAGCCTAAGAAACCCTAGAAATTGACTGGGAAACGGGAAGCGAGATTACATTTTTCAAAATCGAAGAAACTCTCTTTGCTTCTGCGAGGAATCGTGAAAATCCGGCGGCGAAACTGTTCCGGTAAGAACTCGAGGCGGCGAGAGGAGGAAGCGTGCGCGGCCAATTTTTTCACTCTGGGGTTTTCGTATGGCGGGATAAGTTGAGAGGTTCTCTCTCCTTCACGGACAACAAATGGAAAACTATTTTTGAATGTAGAAGAAAAGCAAAATTCAAATTTACGTTAGAAGGAAACGAAAAGCACAAATTCAAATTGTTTCTGAGAAATGCTCCATAATTTACTTCAAAGATGATTATTAATTAATTACTTCATTTTACAATTAAACTTAAAAAGGCAAACATGTTGTAAATTGTAAATGAGCTCTAATAAAATTTTCAAACACACTAAAATCGAGAATTTAAACGTAGTCTACAGAATAAACACACTACTCGTCATCGACCTCTGTTCTTCTACTGCAAATTTTACAAGACTTTCAAATGTAAAATCCCCAAACCATTTGATAAGAGAGAAACATTAAACATTTACGACCAAAAAAGAAAAAGAAAAAAAAAACAAATTCGACAGACGAACGAAAACTTTCTTCTTTTACAAAAGAAAAAAAAAACAATCTTTTTTTTTTTACATGTCTCGGAATTCTCCACTAGCATGCACTTGCTTCACCGTTTTAACATACTCATCATCTTCTTCGTCTTCTTCTTCCTCTAATTCCTCAACGTCCTCCTCTGCATCTTCTTCCTTGGCCTCACCATCTTCTTCTCCTCCCCAACCAAATGCTCCAATGGATCGAGAAACAGGAGGCGGCGTTTTCGCCTCATCCACAATCTTCATGATCTCTTCGACACTCTGTTCAGAGAATGTCGGGTTCTCTTTCCTAAAGTATGCTGCTTGAGCTGTCTCTGTAAGTTCCCTTGGTAGGTTCTTAAGGAACCATGGGTGTTTCTTGATTTCAGCAATTGTAATCCTCTGCAAAAATAAAACGATAAGTTATACAATAACAATCTCACAACGAATGGATTATAGCTTTTTTTGGAGAGAGTGATGATACCTTGATTGCGTTGGCGACAAATATACGGGAGAGAAGATGTTTGCAATCCTGTGAGACACGGACATAGTCTGGGATCTTGTACTGGACAGCCATTATTCTCTGTTACAATGTGGCATAACGTTTAGTGAGCCGCATAGTTTTTTTTTTGAAAGCAAAGAGTGCAAAAAACAAAGAAGACCTACTTGTATTGTTTTTCTGAAGTTTTTGGGATCCTCTTGGTCTTCGAATGGGTATGCCCCAACCAGCATGACATAAAGAGTCACACCACAAGACCATACATCAGCCATCTGAGTGGGAGAAAAAAAAAATATAAGTACAAAGCGTTGATGATTTATGTGAAGATGATGTTTCTAAATCCAAACAAATGAAGATCATCACAATTTCATAGAGCATTTGTAACAGTCAAGGTAAGCATTTCGGATCCATTGAAAATCCATTTCTTTATACATGGCTCAACTTGGAAGAAAGCTTACAATTATCATTGACACACACAAGCAAGGGATGGTATAGACAGATTAGATAACTAACACATCTGGTCTTGGATAATTAGACCAATTTTTCTTAACCACTTAATAAAATACAGCCCAAATCTACATAGGCCATAGCTGATTTCTGCCAGGATGAGGCTTATCTCTCCCATAACACGCACGGGTCTCAATGTATCAAAATATGATGCATGAGCAAAAAAATGAAAGACCTCCATATCTACATAGGAAAGGTGTTTCAAAGTATTGTCTCTAGTCAGGTGCTAAACATATTTGATATACCGATACTTGCATACCAATAAGATTACCTTGCCATCATATTCTCTGCGAGAGAGAACCTCAGGTGCAATATATGCTGGAGTTCCAACAGTTGATTTGGGTCTAGAGTGCAGCAGAGAGGACTATAAAAGAAGAAAACATATCACATGAAGGCTCTTCAAGACAAGGGCCCTTGCAAAAGCAGGGCAACGGAACTTGAATGACAAGAATAAGTAAGAATAAATCACTATGAGCGCTAAAATGCTAGAGATATATGTCAGACCTTGGAATAACCAAAATCGCAGATTTTCAGACGTGGAGCAGGACTTCCATCCAAGAGGGTATTTTCGAGTTTCAGATCTCTGTGGCATATTTGCTGTGACAATAAGGACAAAATCGTGAGTACAGGACTATTTTGTAGGTCTGTTAACTTAAAGAAACTTCATAAGTCATTCCCTTACCATAGCATGACAATAGCTGACTCCTGATATAAGTTGCTGGAAGAAGTATCTTGCCTGGAAAAAAAGAAAAAAAAAAATCATGAGCACAAAAGCTTCAATCTCATAATCAGGGAGCAGTTGCTACAATTAATATACAACATAGATCACATATCTCGTTCGTTGACCATGCTAGATAATAGAATAGAAATATGTACATGTATTCCTCTTTCTTTTTCTCTAAATTTATTTTAGAATCTCTGAAATTTGTCCTAGAAAATGGACAATATCGTGCAACCATGAATTCTAAATCTTTAAATGCCAAGCTCACCTCATCCTCACTGAATCTTCCAGCGCTACATATACGCTCAAAAAGCTCACCACCAGCAGCATATTCCATGACAATGGCGATATGTGTTGGTGTCAAAACAACCTGGAAAAGCCAAAACACAAAGCCCACATAGTGCACTTAGGAGATGCGAGCTGTGAAGATACCAACTTCAGCTGAGACTTTTCAACAAATCTTTAACAATGACACCATGAAGCTCTGGAAAATGAATTTACCTCTTTAAACCGGATTATATTCGGATGACGAAGTGATCTGTGGTTAATAATCTCTCTCGCCACGTTCTCATCAATCTGTTCACCAAAACAAAACCAGAAAAAAGTTCAAAAATTACATACCCAATCATTGATCATATAAGACAATTTAACAATTGCAAACACACACACAAAAGTAAGAAAACAAGAGAGTTTAGAAAACCCAGATGAGCAAAACAGAAATCTGTCTTCTTCACATCTGGGAATCTGAAATCATAGCTCATGAGATCAGAGCAAAAAATTAGTAAACAACATCAAGAGATAAACCTTTGGGCCACGCTCGATGTACTTCATGGCAACGAGTTCCTTGGAGTTTTTGACCCTCATGAGTCTAGCCACTCCAAAATTCCCAGAACCGATATCTTTAACCAGCTCGTACTTCTCCATGTTCTCGAAGCAAACAAAAATCAACAATTCCTAATTCCCACGACACAACCCAGGAAGAAGAAAACCCCTAAAAAACTCGAAATTCTCAAAACAAATTCAACTTCAGCTCATTACAAGCCCTAGCAACTCATTACACACGACCGATTTCACGTGAAATTCGGAAACAAGACAATTACCCAGATTACAAAACCCAAATTCAAGGATAACGATTCAGAGATTTCCGCGATTCGTAAATGCAGAAAGGACAAAAAAAAATGGCGAAGAAAGGTCCAATGGTGAGTGAGAAATGGAATAGAGAGATTTGAAAGCAAAGCGGCAGAATCGTCTAGTTGATTATCTTGCTATTCTTATCCGTGAAGAAATTTCAAGAGAAGATATTGCTTATGATTACAATGATGATGATGATGATGATGATGATGCAGTAATTTGCGTCGCTCCTTGCGCTGGCTTCTTCTCACGATGTCACGATGCCTTTTCTTATTTGTTTAATTTTTTAAATTAAGATGTTTAATTGAAATATGGGACCCAAAACTCCTTTCAATCAATTTCAATGTTCCTTTGCTGACTGAGACGTCGATATATGTGAGAAAAGGATTTTAGTTGTGTCACAGAATTTGCGTCTATACACTCTTTGTCTTATCCTTTTCTTCAGTTGCTGATTTATACAAATTAGCTTGTAACAAATGTTATACAAAACATGTTAAAAATGTCATACACATATATAAATATAAATACAATAATCCTCTATTTTACTAAATTGAATTTCTTACCGTTATCGGCTAGATTTAAAATTGAAGATTTAGATAAAATTGTTATTTTACCTAACGGTCAAAGTTTTAATATTTGATTACGTATGATATAATCTGAATCTGACTTTTCTACCGGATATTCCAGATAGTTTGTACATATAAACTTCAAGGAAAAGGTTTCGAGTTCAGCAACTTGTGGATTGGAATGAAAAAAGTAGTCAAAGATTGACTTGTTGTTATTGGTAGAATGGTTGGTTTTAAATCTGCTTTTCGAGTGGCCTTAATTACGATAATTAATCATCTTAAATTATAAGTATATACTGTTGCGGTATACCGTTATGATATACAGAGACACAATCAATAAGACACTACTAGAGACATGCAATTCAAAAATACTCTGATTTTATTAAAACTAGAAGAGAACCCGTGCTATGCACGAGTCTTTTTATATTTTATTTTATAAATAAATATGTTTAAGACTTTTTGTTTAACTATCAATTTTATTTCTAGTTCTTTCATTCAAATTTCAAATCTTTTGATCTAAATTTTTATCTGTAATTAATTTTTGACTTTTTCAATATACATTTTGTTTTTATGATTTTAGTAACCTCTTTCATCTGGTATTTTTTTGAGTTTTTCATTAAATTCTGACTAATAACAATTTTAACTTTCTCAATTTATCATTTTTTAAGTTTTCTTATTACATATATTCCATTCATCTCATATTTCTAACTGATATCTTAAAAATTGTTCTCATATATACTCTTTTCTTTTCTTTTCTTCTTTTTTTATTTTTTCTCTACTTTTGATATCTTGAGATTTCTTAATTTTTATTGATTTTTGTATTATATTTTTATTGTTCTTATTTTTAATAGAATTGTTATTCTTCTATTGTTTGTTTTTTAAAAACATCTTGTTTTCAATTTTAGCCTCATAACTTACTTTTTACTATATATATATTTATATATATCTTATATATATATATATTTATGATCTTAGTAACCATTTTTATCCATTTTTTCAAAACAATCCTCGCATAAAAATTATTTTGAACTTTCTCAATTTATTATTTTGATATTTTACTATAACATATATTTCATTGAATCTATCTTTCCAACCAGTACTTTTAAAACTTTGTATATTTATTGGTTATCATATTCTTTTCAATTATTATTTTCTAATTATATTTTCTTATCTTTTCTATTATTTATTAATCTATTATATAAAGAGTGGGTTGTGTCTCACAAACTTGACACATCACCACCCCCTCTTTTGACACCCCATCTCTCTAGATTTTAATTTAGAAAAAAAAAGAATGTAAAAAATCAGAGTAAGTAGCAGCTTCTTAGCCTACTCTATTTAAATCAAATAGGTCAAATGAATTTAATTAACAATGAATATTCCAAAGCTATTTTCGATGCAAATTTCTCTTCTTCTTATTAATTGTTGGTTCTTCACAACCAAGGGTTTAGAGCTTATTTCGCTTAGTGTTCTGTTCATGACGAAAAGAGAGGGAAATGGTCGCTTATATTGTAAACATATTAGTTTTTATACTTTAGTACAGACAGAAATTAGTTACTCGAATATTCTGCTGATAAAAAATAATTATATTTTATTTGTTTAATCCGTTCACCAGCACAACTTGTGCTATATTGGATTTGTTTCTCTTGTGAATTGCAGTGGTGTTATTATCGCTGAAGGCGTTCTTAGCGCCAGAAAGTCTCTTACGAAGGTGTCCCTTCACGTTTGTTTTTTATCTGTTTTTAGACTATATAAACAGAAGTTTTCCTCTAAAGTTTGGTATTATTTATTTCTAATTGTCAAGATTATTTTGATTTTGGAGAACATGACTTGTCAACATTTGGTTCTTATTTCATTCTCACATCAGCTTTGTTCTTTACATATATTGAAGGAACATTCCGGTTGTATGTCCAACTTTTCCGTTGTGGTTGTGTTGGAGTTTTGTACCCATTGCTACATCGCTTTGGCTATTGCCTGGATTAGAAAGAATCCATCATACTCACGTGGTCTAGAAAATATAATCGGTGTTCATAAATGAAGTCTACATTGTGAGAATGCGAAACTTGGTTTGCTAAATGCATTATTTATGAAAATTTCCAAAATAAAAAAAATGGTAATAGAGAAGGTAAGTTAGTTCATGAGAATATTTCTATCGTAATGTTGAAGAACCAAAGGATCTGAAGTTTGTAACAAGTTTGAAATAATCTACCATTCTTAAGGATTAAAATCAACAAAGGTTTTCTTAGATTCTTGCTCATTCTTAAGGATGGCTTGATTCTTTCTCATAGAGACTTACCAAAGCAGTTTCAAAAGAGTTAAATATTCTCACAATTCTTTGCTCATCAGTTCGTGTCACAGGGTGTACTGATCATCCATGTGATTTATAATTCAAAGTTAAGTCTAAATAATTAAACCATTTACCACTTCACATTACATACATAACACTGCATCATCTACAAAATAAATAAAAAATTATAATCCATTATTCAAAACGTTTTGTGAAACTCTCTTTGGGAAAAAAAACGTTTGGATTTCATAAAAAAATTGTCAAAATCTCTTCTAAAATTTACATAATTTTGGTTTGAGTACAAAATTTATTTTTTTACCATGGAATTTTCTAATATAAAGTTAAAAATACCAAAATAACAAAGCTAAATAATGAAACTACATCACCAACAAAAATTTATATAAAGACCCCGCGCAGATGCGCGGGTATTCTCCTAGTTTCTTTTAAAATAACATCTGTCCTCGTATACACAAACAAAAAAAACCCATCTTTGCCTTGTCGATCTAGATACCCAATTAATTAGATGTAGACCCGGTTCACGCTCGGTTCATATACATACCGGTTCTAGTATCCACCAATATTTCTTCACCTACGTTAACAAAGAGTGGTACGGTAACTACTGCCCCTGTTTCCACTGTCGCAGGGTTTGATCCACCTATACAACAACCACACCACCCGGTTTAGGGCGTGAATCACACCAAAACACAAAAAACGATCTTTGTGCAACATTGTTATCTTACCTTGTGCAGTGTCACCGCGAAGGCCAGGATCAACATCAACCACTTTTAGCTTAACCGTATTTGGTAGTTCGAAATCGATAACCTTTGCAAAATCCAGACAGAAACAAGAAGCATCACTGATTCGTCTGTGTACTTATTTACTGTGAAAATAAAAGTGTGTACCTTGTCTTTCCAATACAGCAAACTGCATTCCATTCCTTCTTTCAACCATCTCGTCTTCTCACCCATATCAGATTCGTTAAGACGTGTTTCTTCGTAAGTGCTCTGATTAGAAGAAGATTTTTTATTAGACGCGAAACAAATCATGTGATTAGAGCAACCAACCATTGTATAAGCTAAGAAGAGAAGTAAGGATCCAATTGACATACCAGATCCATGAAAACAAACTGAGACCCTTCTCTGTATGTGAACTGTTTGGTTTCTTTGAATACATTTGCTTCTTCGACCTGTAATATACAAGAGAATCAACAATCATAATCAAGGTGCTGCAGCTAGAATCATTCCTTGGATTAAGAAACAAAAGAAGAGAGAGAGAGGATTGTTACAGAAATTCCAGCACGAAATGTTCTCTCCACTGTACTACCATTGACGTAGTTCCTGATCTTAGTTCTCACAAATGCCGCACCTTTTCCTGGTTTGACATGAAGAAACTCTGCCCCAAATATAAAAGCCAGCAAAAAAAGGAAAAGTCAAAATTTTGAATACAAAAACATCTCCGACCAGTAGAGCTTTAAGCAGAAATTAGATGCAATCAAACTCGAAAAACAAGGCTTAATTCGTCATACACTAGTAACAATATCCAAGTAGACAGTACCAATTCCGAATAGTATAACCTCTATATTTATGAGAAGGAAGGAAGAATACCGAGTACACGCCAAGGAGCACCATCGACTTCGATGTTGGTTCCGGCTTTGATGTCATTGGCAGACAAAGAACAGTAAGCCCCTGCAACATCAACGTAGTCGGAATACAAAAACCAGAAACCAATCCCTATCAAAGTCTCGAAATTAGAGAGCGGAGAGAAGTTTTAACCGGGAAATCTGTTGGTTCGAGGAGAAATCCGCACAAGGAGCGCCGATCGATTCGAGAAAGACAGTGAGAGCGATGAAGATGAAGTAGTTGAATATGATATGCACAAGGAAGGAGATGAATATACAGAGAAAGTCGATATTCCCGCCATTCTGTTCTTCCGCCGGCGAGAAAATGAAGGCGCTGCCGCTGAGCCTGAAACGTTGGATAAGGTCCTAAAGGGGAAGGTTACGCTCAATCCCCGACCGTGTGGGACACCAATAACAAACCAAACCCATTAAGCGATTCCATTGAATGGTCCGGTTCTGCTAACAAGGACGCTTTTAATTAAGCTTATATTGTATTTTAGTGAGCAGTAAGGATTAGATCTCTGCTTGTTTAGCTACAAGTTTATTACTTTTTCAACCACTATTCATCATATTTTCATTAGTAGTTTGATACTACTACTTTTAGATTATGCTCGTAAAAGAACACAAAAATGATACCCGATCCCTGTGATCTGGATTAGTAGTTTTAGATTAGTAGTTTGATACTACTACTTTTAGATTAGTAGTTTGATACTACTACTTTTGGAGTATCAAGCAAGTATTGAATTACAGGGATATGGTGAAGATTGACGATCTACTTTTAGTTTGATACTACTGCTTCACTTTGGTCGATCTTCACCATATCCCTGTGATTCAATACTTGCTTGATACTCCAACCAAGAAGCTCTTTGATGAGCGTCCACATGTCAGTGCTTGGGTTGCTGACATCACTGCTAGGCCTTCTTCTCAAAAGGTCTTCCTTTAAGTGGATTTCACTCAAACTGTTAATCCACACATATTGAATAAGTGGCGGCGACTTCATTGCCTAATCCTCATAAATTTTCTTGTTTATGTGTTAGTGTTTCCTCTGTTTTTCTTTTGTGTGTACTCTGTTTTGGTTTCTGAGAGATTAATTTGAATGTAATTTTCAATAATGAATTATGAGTCTTCATTTTATAAAAACAACTAGATGAATACCCGCGTATACACGCGGGTCTTTTTTGTAATGTATTTTTTAAATCTCACAACAAATTAGTGACCTTAATACTATGTAAAAATCTATTATTTCTGTTATACATATTTAAAAATAGAAAGATTTTTTTTTTTAAATATTAAATTGTTATAAAAATCTATAGTTTAACACGAATGCACTGATATATTTTAAACTATATCAAGTTGTGCTCACTTCTCTCAACTCCTATAAAAACTTCTTAGCTCTCTTTTAACCACAATGATATAGTTGTTATTTGTTTCACATTGTTAAAAATTATCGTTGTATTATTAAAATATTACTCTAAATCTACTTTGAAGACTCTTTGTGTATTTTAGATTTGTAATTTTCTTAAAAAACCTAATTATACGATAACATTTGCCAATGAAATCACCAAAACATAATCCTAATCCAATCTTTCTAAACACTACACACACACACACACACACTCAAATAGACTCTTTAAACGACAACATTTTACTACTCATTTCTTCATCTTTTGTTCCACTTAGTTCCTACATGATTGGTGCCAAACTTTCAACAATCTTTCTTTTTTTGAACATGGTAAAATATATTTACCTCTGTTTAGTATGTTATAAGCATTTCTATGGAATGTATTAAAATGATTAGTAGATTTTTTTTTATTTTAACCATTAATTAGCTAAACAAACTGTCATACATATCTATAAACATTTACATAAACTTTATATTATAAGCAAATAAATAAACTTTTGGTAAATTATAATTAAAGAACTCTTAAGCTATACAATAACACTGTTATTTATTGACTCAGCTAGTATATTCTACACATAATCACAATTAGACTCATAGAATATAGACCCCCATTGGCGGTCTCCTTGCAAAGGAACATTGTATAGTGGCTGCTTAGCCTTCGCATGGATATTTTGATGTCTACTGAAATAAAGAATTCAAAAGCTTTTATAGGTCATCGCTGATTCTCTGTTGAGTTAGTAATTGATTTCGTATCTAATAGTCATTCTGATTTGCTTTGATTCTTTTTTTACTTACTTCCACAGACAGATATACATTTCTCAATTCTTCTCCTTTGCGGTGGTGATGGTCTATTCTTTCTCTGCGACGTCATCTATTCTGATTTCCCAACACTTGTTTTCCTTCCTCGTGAAAAATGTAGATTGTGAAATGATCTATAATGTTTGGGATTAATTTGATCTTATTCTTGAAATATTGTAAGACAAATGAAGAATGTGAGCACTTAATTAGCCTCGCGAAACCTAGTTGATCAATAAAGGAGAAGCCGATGTGTTAACCTCTGGAGAATTCCCTCCAACTATTATATATTAGACTATGTGAAGACCTGCGTATACACGCGGATTTATTATATTATTTATATTTTTTAATTTGTGTTTAGTAAAATAAGAATTTTTTAATCAGTCTATAAGAGTTAACTTTTTATTTCTAAGAAAATTATCCTAACAAATACAACCTAATTTGTGATAGAAGGCATTTGAAGAATTTGTTTAATGTTCTCTAAACTAACTTAAACCAAAAAAAAAGTGGTTTGTAATTTTGTGATGAGACCATATGTATTTATTAATAAATCTGCCATACTTTCATATTCTTGTAAGCTCTTTGTCTTCTTTTCTAAGGTTGGCATCCATCTCCCACAAGCCTCGAAGTCATTCACCATGTGTTACCACCATTTTCTGATGGGATCGTTGATTTGACAAGATTAATAAGAAGACCGAACAAACCAATGATAACTGAAATATAGATTGATTCTTGCCCAATATATATCCAAAATTATCCCCCAACAAAGAGTAAAACCTTTTTCTTCTCGATTAAACAGATAATGATCATGACTTTATCCTTCTACTACTCAGGAGCCTATAATATGATGATAATAAAGTTTTTTCAAAAGAGATACAATCTCAACGAAGTTTTTATGAAATCAAAACTCTTGGCCTGAATAAATTGGTATGTATAGATAACATGTGAGCTAACTTAAATAATTTCCAATTTGTCAAAATACAAGCAAGCTCTGTTTACAGTATTATGTGATTATATTGACTTGCTATCTCAAAAGTGTTTTTTTTTCTTTTCAGAATTGTCTATTTTATTTAAAAAATATATTCATGTCACGATAACCACACAAAATCTTGTGACCAATGGAAGGTAGTATCTAGATGCAACTTGGATAATATGAAGCATCTCTATATTGTTATTCACTTTTTCAGTTAACTGAAAGAATTGCGTTATAAATCTATAGATATATCAACCAAAAAATATGGGTAAATGATAAGGAAGTATCTTAAGGTGATATGTGCATTCTGGTGATGTACCTTGTGCATTGACCAAATTCCATTTTCACAATATTATGAGCAAGCGGCTAATATCATAGCATAGACTTCTAAAATATATCTATAATAACTAATTGACTATAAGCCGCAAGTAAGATAATGTCAACCATAAAGAACATTAGATAACTTTTAAATTATATCAGGAAGCTAAGAGAGAAAATATCAAATAACAAAATTGCTAGTGCGCATCTTACCGAGAAAATATATGCTTTTACCGAGGATTCTTAGCGATGAAACGTTTTTTAAGGGAAAAGGAAGACGAAGAATTTAGAAATCAATTATAATACATAAATTAGAGATAACAAGTGGCTGATTTTAATTTGATTTTTTAAGCTGATGTGTCTTAAGAAGAGAAGCTTATGTGTCAAGCTTGTGAGGCTCAACTGAGTCTTTAAATAATAGATTTCTTTTAGGCAAGCTTACAAGTCTCACCTAAAAACATTATACACAAGACAAAATACACCTTGATTTGTGACCATGGAACTTATAACCTCTCTCACAATTCCTAATTAAGATCAACCATGGTCTTTCCTAAATAGATGAGAGTAAAAAAAACAAAAAATATGTAAAAATAATTATTATTAGACTCTTATAAACTAATTATGTAAGTTACATTGTTTTATATAGAGACTAGATAGATCTAAGTTTTCTAAATCAAAACAAACATAAATATAAATTATATATCTACCAATAAATATAAAATTCTGAAACTAATATATTGATAAATCCATAATCGCATTTCTACGCTTCAACCGTACAAGTCAGACACTCATAAAACGGAGACTGAATGTATTAACCTCTTCACAGGTCATAATCATAATATGATCGAGTATGATATTTCTTTTGCATTTGCTTTTATTGCAAAAGAACGTAAAATCATATTTTTGGCGATATATTTTCATTCATGATATTTCTATTTTTGTAATCTAGGTTTTAGCAACATATTAGTAATATCAGTGTGATTAATCTTGAAATCATATAGTTGTAAACTTGTACAAACCATGCACTTAGAAATTTGGTGTCTTTGATAAATATCAAAAGATATAGGTGTTTTTGGTAAATACGAAAAAGTTTGAAATATTTTGTTAAATACTTAAAATATGGGTCTTAAAGTTAGATATCAAAAGTTATAGGATACTTGGTGATGAAAACCGCATGCCGATCAAGTAGAAGCGTTGGAAACTTGGACCAGAAAAAACACCGGCCGTTAACGACGAGGTCGAACGCTTACTTAAGACAGAGTCAATCACCGAACTCAAATACCCCGACTGGTTGGCGAATCCGGTGGTCGTTAAGAAGAAAAACGGCAAATGAAGAATCTGTGTTGATTTCACCGATCTCAAAAAAGTCTGCCCCAAAGACAGCTTCCCTTTACCGCACATCGATCGACTCGTTGAAGCAACCACCAAAAACAAACTCCTTTCCTTTATGGATGCATTCTCCGGGTACAACCAGATCCTCATGCACCTTCAAAACCGGGAGAAAACGTCATTTATCACCGATCACGGCATATATTGCTATAAAGTTATACCATTCTGCTTGAAGAATGCGGATGCGACATACCAATGCCTCGTTAACCGGATGTTCGCAAGTCAGCTCGGTCGAACAATGGAAGTCTACATCGACGATATGCTCATCAAATCACGTCGCCACCGACCACGTTGGCCTTTTCCGCACCTGCTTCGATATACTAGAACAGTACAAAATAAAGTTCAACCCCACCAAGTGCACCTTTGGCGTAACGTTAGGTGAGTTTATTTGGTGCATCGTCACTCAACGAAGCATTGAAGCTAAT